ATTTATCTAAAAATGTATACCAAACCGCTGACTAAAACACCAACCCTCAAAAGGTCACGGGTCCAAGCAGAGGACCAAGATAGCAGTTACGATGCCTCATCGGAAAACACACGACTCACCCACTTGTTACATGCAGATGAAGGTTGTCTTGACGATGGATTTTCCTACTCACTAGTCAGTTCATCTCACCTGATAAATAAAGTCGTAGTGACAGTTCTGACTGTATCTAACATCGTCTACAGCATAATAACAAAGACCACCATGACCTAGCAATTCTAGATGCAAGCGCTGACTCGCAATTACGAAACGCACTCCGCTTCCTCCCAGCCAAGCCTCAATTAGGTGAGCATCTCGTAATCTGACCTGGTTTCACATCTGACAATTTTTCCAAAGACGCTTTCATTGAAGCATTCTTCAGCAATGTCAATCACCATTACAATTTCATACACCCCCCTGCCTTTATACGCCAATACGTCAACTGGTCGTGCAGAACGCAACAACCATGTCTCCAGGATCTCCAACTCACAACCCTCATCTTCATGATGTGCGCTTGCGTTACGCAGCATCTCGACCTTGATGCGCAAGCGACACTGGGAATTCATCTGACCCAGCCATCAAAGGATGTTTCCAAGGCTTTTCACGATGCTGGAACAAGGCTTGCAGAGGCGATACCAGCTGGGTCCTATCATCTGATCAATCTTCAGTGGAAAGTCCTTTCCATCTGCTGGTTCAAAGGCGAAGCAAAATTCACAGAGGCCTGGCATACAATAGGGCTCGCTGTGCAAGAGGCATATGAGTTGGGTGAGTCGATAACATGAAAGATCAATCGGGCTCTTACTGAACATTTATGTAGGGCTGCATAAGTCGCGACGGAAGGCGACACAGGATATTGAGGTGCAGATTGGCCGACGAGCCTGGCGTGTGTTGTACTGCTGGAACTGGTACGTGAAAACTGGATAAAGATGATGACTCGTTCAATGGCTTACATCGTACAGGCAATTGTCGTCAATACTAGGTCGGCCTTTCATCATGAATGACATAGATTCGGAGCCTGAACAACCCGAACTGAAAGGTTCAGCGCCAACACCAACACTCCATACCAAACTTCAGTACCAACTCATATCATCCCTCGCCAAGCGCTGGCAGACACCGCAAAACATCAACTCGCCATCCAAAGTCCGGGACTACAAGAACATGGTGGAGCGTCACGTGTCCTCCTTTCCAGCTGTGTTTGCTCTAAACAATCCAGACACGTCGAAAGATGCTGAGTGGCCTTGGATCGCGACGCATCGCTACTATATCCAGACAATGGCATACTTTATGATTCTCCAGCCATACAAATCATATTTGTTACACCCATCGACAGATTCTTCTGTACCGGAAATACAACAATTGCGAGCAGAAGCGGTAGAGTGCTCGCTGAAGACGTTGCAGATCGCAACTCGATGGGCATCTCGAGTCTCACAAGGCGATGGACAGTTTCACCTTGTTGTGCTGTGCCTCTTTGACACGGCTGCTTTCTTGTCCATGTCTCTGCAGAGGGATCAAGTGAACAACTTTCCTCAGCAGGTCAAAGTTGGTGTTGCAGTCAATGAGGCTGCTGCGACACTGAAGGAACTTCAGACAATATCGCGGGGAGCTCAATCGTCATACAGGCTTTTATGCAAGATTCTACAGAAAATGGATTGGAATGCTACGGATAGATGAGAAACGTAATGACTCACGATTTATGTCACGTATTATACCTAGTTGCACTCAAGTGGTTTTATATCACAACAAATCATTACCTATCATGAACACTAGGGTCTCTCTGTGATCCTGCATGTCATCTTCCATCAGCCCAGAATCTCTCCAAAGCCTCTTGCCGAACTTCGTATGCCCAGTGGTGACAAGTCTGATGCACCACAGGACTCACATCAACCTCATCTTCATCTCTCCCATCATCCGCGAACACCGTCCGTATCCCCAAAGCCACGTATTTCTTGAGCAATATCCGTCGCCAACGACCTGTCTCACCAACGCATTTCTTCCAACGACTGATCTGGCGCTCGTCATCAGAACAGCGACGACCCATCCAGAAGCGACAATACCACTGAAACCAACCCCTGATGTCGTACTCGTGCGCGATCCAGCCAGCTGCTTCCCATTCTTCAATGCTTTGCCCGCATGCGACGCCGTATTTGTTTATCTCGGGATTGTATATGTTGCTGGTGAGATATTCATCCACGTTCAATCCTGCAGTCCACGAGGATGGTAGTTCTCTCCAATCATCCTGTATAGTAATTCCCAGATACTTTGAGAATAAAGGTCGCCAGTAAGAGCCGCCAAAGCTTCCCTCGCGGATGATCTCTTTTGGGGATTTGTTGGGCCGAAAATCAGGATGAGAATCAAAATGGAATGCTCCAGAGGCATCGCGCGTCGGCCCATCAGCTTCCGGCTTCCATCGCGTCCATCCGTCTATAATGGATTTGGAGTCTTTGCGAGTTTGAGGTTCTGATTCAGGGTCTGAACTTGTTGATTGCACGGCGTTTTTGTAGAATGTCCGACTCTTTTTTCTGCTTCTAGGAGATGTCGGTGATACGGGCACATCGTCTCGCTCTTCGTTGTAACTCGGGTTCGTGCTGGCTTCCGCTATACGCCTAGATTGTCTTGTAGGCGCGCGTGGTGAAGTGGCCCTACGTTTCACGCTTTTGCTGGCAGGCTTGGATTGAGGATCAACCTTGGGTACGGGATTCTTAAGCTCACGGAGAAGTCTCTCATTCTGCTTGATATTCTCCTGCCGTCTTGCCGCAAAGTCTGCCATTTTGGTATCAGGGACGCGTTTACAGTGGTGATGAACGCCTAAGAGCCGTGAATCACAGTAGCAAGTGCGTGTTGGGGCACGAGCTACGTCATAGACCTGAAGGTGCTCCATTGTACAAACACGGTTAGTGCTAATCGATTCCGAGATATATAGGGTAGTTCTATTTTTGATTATGTATTTTACGTTGAGAATATAAATTAAATTGACTCATGACACAGAGCAGTCAATCGAATAACACTAAATATAGTCAAAGGATAAACAGTCACTTTAACCTCGGTAACATAAATCTGTGCCTACAGGGCATTGTGACAGGCTTGCTGAATAGTCCTGATGCCGGACCGGCTCCACTCAACGTTGCCGGCAATGAGACCTGGTGAGCATGCAAGTCGGCGGGAGCTTGATGGTCATGCATGTATTCAAAAGCATCTCAAACTCTTCCTTTCCCCGGGGAGGCTTTCTTCATTATCTACAAATTATTCATTTGCTCCCTTGCTGGCATTCGATTCTCAAGTACCAGCTCCTGCCAGTCAATATGCATGTCCACAAGACCCTCCGACAATTCAGCCTTGGCTCGAGCTTTACGCGTTCTCAGCGAGGACGTGCGTGGGGCTCACACCATCGCCGTTTTGCGACATCAGCCGTCGCTTCATCGCTTGACAGGTCAAATACAATCGGCTTCATTGGCCTCGGCGCCATGGGCGGTCATATGGTCAGCTCTTGCACGTTCAATTCATTTCTATGGAGAGAGTTCTAATCTGCTTTATTAGATTACCAACCTTATTTCAAGATACCAGAGCCCTACTAGCGGAAAGAGGGTCGGCTTCGCATTGTGTGACGTGAACCAGGCCGCGGTGAACACTATCATCAAACGCCAAAATGCTGAGCACCCCGAAGTACCTCTTATCAGTTGCTCAAGTAAGCATGCACCATAGGAAGACTTGCCATACATGCTAGCATTACCACTGACCCCTGATAGCACCTTATGATGTAGCACAGAAGGCTTCTACCATCATCACCATGGTCCCCACCGGAAAGCATGTCCAGGAAGTATACGTCGGCGAAGGCAACAGTGTGCTCACTGCTCTCAAAGAAATGAGTCAAGCTCAACGCGCGGATACTCTTTGTATGGATCAGTCAACCATCGAGCAAAGTGTCAGCAAAGCGGTTGCCCTGCAACTACGACAGGTTGGCGCAGATCTGGTGGATGCCCCAGTTTCTGGAGGTAACTACACCGAGCTACTCATTTCTGCCATGGTTACTGAAATTCCACGATGCAGGTGTCATTGGCGCAGAAAAGGGTACATTGGCCATCATGGTAGGAGGATCCAAGATATCGTACAATCGCTCGGTCCCCGTGCTCGAAGCCATGTCTCGCAAGGTCACATATTGTGGCGACCTCGGAGCTGGACTTGCCGCTAAGATATCTAATAAGTGCGTGTCCCCTCAACCGTCTGTTTTCCATACGATTACTGACTGAAATATAGTCTTCTACTTGGTATCACCATGCTTGGCCTGAGGTGAGTTAGAAACAGTCAGAACCTAGATACTCGAAAGCAGAAGCTAACAAAAGTCAGTGAGGCTATGCTACTAGGAAAGAGACTCGGAGTAGATCCGCAAGTCCTCGCCGATATCATCAACAACTCCACGGGGCGATGCTGGTCTAGTGAGGTAAGTCTTCCAAACGACCTCACGATAGCAGACCGTTGTCTTCCAGTTAAAGTACACGCTAATCTCCTTGTCTAGGTTAATCACCCCGTTCCTGAAGTCAAGGTCGGAGATGCTAGCCCTCCAGCTCACCGCCAGTACGAGGGCGGGTTTGTAACGAAGCTGGCTCATAAGGATCTTGCCCTCGCCGTGTCGGCCGCAGCAGAAGCTAATGTTGCTCTCGCGGTGGGAAGATGCGTCGAAGAGACGTATAGACCGTTGGCCAAGTCCAAGGAGTTTGGGGACCGCGACTTCAGCGTGATATACGAGGCTCTTGATATTTCGGGCTCCACCAAGGTGTAGACCGCTTGCCGTGGAATTTCTAGCAGGGTCCATAAGTTGTTCAGCCAGGTCGGAAAGTGGAAACTATATAACGTTTTAGAATAACCATCAGCATAAAGGAGATTTAATGGCTTTAAAGGATATATATAAACTGGTATGGCCTTTTAAACAGCTTGAAAATGGTTCTTAATTCCTATCAACTATGACTCTCTTATTCATCTTGAGTTGGTCCATTAAAACCAGAGAGCAAAGCATAGTCAATCGGACCAAACAAATCGATCCACGAATTTGGCATTAGACCATCTGATTCCTGACCACTGATATGGGCATCCTGGCTAAGCTGGTTTGACATAGTATTATAGTCGACCAAGGCCCACATGGCTTCTTCCATCTCAGGCGTGAAGCCCAAGCCTTCGGTGAGGCTGTTCAAGTGACGCCCTGAAAACCCATCGTAGATTATCTGGCGAAGTGTCGAGGCCTACTCACGATAGTTAGTGTACGAACAAGACAAAAATGAAACCTAGCACGTCACCATTGTTCTGACATTACTCCAGTGATGACCAATGATATCCAGATAGCCCAAGGCCTCCTCCAGTAGTATCTGAGCTTCTTGACAAGTGGGCGAGTCCTCATCATAAGTACGGAGCGCGATAATGGATCCCGCGACTGTGACGGCATACCCGCTGGATGAAGCGTGGAACGAGCAGCCCAACTTACGTGACTCGCGGATAAGAGCCATCATCTGCTGTGCGTGAAGCCAGGCCATGTCCGATGATCGCTTGATGAAGCTGATGGGAGCAAGGTTTCGACATGTGTTGATGCGGCGCCGCAGTAAGAAGGGATGGTTGAGGAGACAATAGCAGAGGTGGAATAATGCTCGAGAGAAGATAATCGGGCCTGAGGACTGGCTGTCTACCACGCCTTCAGCCAAGATATAAGGTGCGAGTATTTCGTCGATTGGCCTCTGTATCTCCAGATAAGCTTCAAAATGGAGAAGGTCGGATTCAATGCCTGCGAAATCCGAGCCAGGATCCCAAGGCGGATGTGGGCCTCTGATGTTGAAGTCTTGAAGTACGTATTGTGCGCATCGGCCAAGGATCTGCGCAATAGCAATGACCTGAGCCAAAGGACATTGGCGTTGTGATACTGAGAGGGTTCGGTTTGTCATCTCGTCCAACGATTGTGTCTTAGCCCCGAGACCCTCCCTCCAGATTGACTCATCACACGGCATCTGTAAATGGCACGACGCATCAACAATGGCTGGTGGTCTACCTCGGCCGCACGATACCAAGCGATCCAACAGATACACGGACCAAAACACCCGTCGTCGCTCTTCCTGCTGGGCATACGAGAGATGCGCTGCGTTCTCTAGCATGAGCCCACAATCCTGCGCGATCCTGACGGCCAGGCCGACTTTGACCCAAGCCGAGCCATGGCGTAATCGACCAGCTATACGTGTGAGACATAATGGTCATTAGCTATCTGGAGAGTGTAAAAACGTACCAGTAAAGTCAAACAAGCCCAACAAAGCAACTGTCTGGACCGTGGACACCTCTGCCACCTTACCCACGGTAAAACAGTCCGACACAATGAGTTTCCAAGACCTGTTGGCATATTCGACAGACATCTCCAACGCGCGATCCGAATAGTACGAATGCGAACAGAACCGAACCGCAGTCGCCATGACGGCTAGGACTAAGTGTTTAGGGATGGCGTTCTGAGCCAAGCCCTGCCGGAAGGTATCTTCGTGAAAGAACGAGTAAGGCTGATTCTGACAGTAAGTAAAATATGAATCAACAACTGCCATGAGGGCATCCTCCGGCGTCCCAAAGTCCTCTATAGCAGGGTCATTTTGCGGTGAAGGCTGGAACGTAGTGCCCACTGTCCTGCTGACGCTCCTTGGCCCCCCGGAAGAAGCTGGCAGCCCTGCCGCTGCAGCACCCAAGTTAGTATTACTGCCATCTACCAGCGCAACGAGACATCTTTCAATACTACAGAGCGGTTCAGTATCACGAACCCTTGTTGCTGGGACACAAGCTCACCGTTGCAGGCTTGACCCCATGGACTCGATCTTTGCCTCCAGTGTCCCAATTCGACTGACGAGCTCCGAGTTCTAACACGTAGGCTTTAACAAATTTTTGAGAACATGGATATGGAGTCGAGTCAATAAATACCTGCATGTCGCTTGACTCGAAGGTTTGTGTTTGTCGACAAGTCTCGGGGTCGTCGATGGCGATGCTCGCCGAACGAGTCCTTTGCTGCCTAGGGGCTAGCCGCCGAGAAGCTTCGACAGGATAAACACAGGCTTGCATCGTTACACACAAGTCCGATAAGCTTATCGTTGGATACGAAGCATTACTTACCAATGTTGAGTCGTCCACACTGTCCGCAGACAGGTCGATCGCCAGTGCACCGGCATTTTTTCCGTCTTGGGTAATCAGCTATCTATCGCACGCAGGCCAAAAAGGCGGGGTATCAACCGCGTACCGACACTGTAAACATGCTTGGGCAATGCGCTGCACTGGAAAGTAAGTATCGACGTTACTCCCCATAGCATAGATAACAGGACATTGATAGAGCAGATACTTGCTGGAGCGTGGATGGGGTCGATGAGTTGCCAGGTCTGGCTGTTCACGTTGAGGATCCGGACCGTCGCGGCCAACTACAGACGCCACACTGAACGCCCACCTATTTTCGGCCTAGTTACATGTAAGTAGACAGCACTTGATGACCATGTGGAGTGCCGTCGGACCGTCCCCACCTGTCGGCGTTCGAGACCGTGTCTAGATACTTGTGATCGCGGTTTTCGGAGTCAGATGCCGTAGTTGCAGCAATAGATCAGAATGCAAAAGCATGATTCAACGACTTTATAGGGGTTGATGGTTCCCCGTTGATGGAATGCAGAGTCTGTTCCTTTTCCCAAACCATCAAGACCATCCACTAGACAGACAGAGACAGACGCAGCACAGAGCAGTGATCACACAGGAAAGACCATCAACTAGCTACAGAGCACGGCAGAATGAACACCGAACCCTATATCTCGATGTAAGTATCTCGAGCAAGGCAGCTTCTCTTGGTAACTTGGACACTGACATGTTCACAGCGAAAGCGAGACAACGCAGGAGCAATCACCAGTGATTCTAGATGGGAACCAAATCAATCAAACAGCCTTCAGCTCGTTCCCAGACACGAAATATGGCACCGTGGTCTGGCAAACACTTCTCTCCAAGCCGAGCACCAGCTCCGACTCCATGTGCGTAGGCATCGCGACCTGTCCCTCCAACGGAACCCTCGCTCTGCACCAGCATTCTCAGTCAGAGGTCTACTACGTGCTCGAGGGGTCGGGGCAGGTTGAGATCGAAGGGGTCAGGCACCATGTCAAGGCGGGCACCGTGCTTTGGATTCCTGGGGATGCGATGCATGGTGCCTTTTGCGGGCCTGATGAAACGCTTAAGTGGCTTTATGTCTTTCCAGAAGCACGGTTCGAAGATATCATTTACAGGTTTAAAGATACATAGTGGGCAATAGAATGAATTTGGAGGGCCAGATGATATCGATTATGCAATTACCGAGACTGAGATGCTTCCACTGTGCTTTTGAATTGAATATAATGGTTCTAGCAAGAATCTTCTGATGTTATACTCGCTGGCATCTTTTGGGGTTAACTCATAAAATCTGGAAATAATGGAAATAATGGAACTGATGGAAATCTATCCCTCTACTCTGATATGTGCTTCTAGAAGCAATCCAATTCTTCAGTCTCTTCCATCGTTGGCCACGTGAACATCCATGGATTGCCGCATCGTTGGCATGTCAAGGCCGCCACAATTTCAAACAAACTCGGACTGATCATGGCGCTAATGCAAGGAATGCGATTCCAATACTTGATTCATACAATAGAATACGATAGGTATAAAAGCACCCTGGGAGTATCTCTGTTTCGGTAATCGCATACTGGATATCATCTGGCAACCAAATCACTTACGGACCGTACCCACTCTCCGCAAAGACAAGGCCCTTGGGCCGAACAGCCCATACAGATAGCGGATCCAATGAAATAATGGCCATATAGTTTCCGATTCGTGGATGTGCCAGAATCAATGTCTATAAGACAAGGTTACAGAAGTCGCTCTGTCAAAGGAGTATATCCACGGTATCAGCATTCTTTCATTAGTTGGCACAAATCGTTCCTATCAACCTTTCCATTCATCAACCATCATTCATAATGACACAGATAGTTTCGGGTGCTGATATCTACGGACAAGGGTCTTGGATTGACTCCAAGGCACCACCAGTGCCCGATGATGCACGTCGACTTCTCAAGAAGCTGGCCGAGGCTACGCCGGGATTCACCAAAGACCCCGCCGCTCTGGAATCGGTATCATTCACCGGTTCCTCCGAAACAATCGTCCCCGGTCCTTTAAAATCCGCCGTTATCGCTGGTGCTCTTCACGCCATGAGTGGCATCGTCGCCAACGAGCTCCTCGAGCTCAGAGACGGCCAAAGCGCCAGCAGGACTGTGTCTATCGATACTGACCACGCTGCATTTTGGCTTGGTAGCGTGGGCATGACCAAACGAAACGGTCAAACTGTCCAGGAACTTGGCAAGGAGGGTAAATTGGCGGCTATCTTCCCTAAAGATCTCCAAGGAGACATCTTCGGAACGCCACTGAGATTGCGCGCTACGGCAAACTACGAGACCAAGGATGAAGGAGTTTGGTTCCAGCTACATGGGTCTCTAGGCGCAGATCCAGTACTGCAAACTATTGGCATAGACCCATCGCAAGAGTGCAGTAGTAACGATGAGGCCTCTCAAGTCATTGCAGAGCATGTTCGCAAGTTTGGAGCGCATGAGTTGGAGATGATGCACCTCGTACAAGGCCTTTGTGGAAGTATCTGCTACAGTCCTGCTGGATGGAAACAGACGCGCATGGCCAAAGACTTGGCTAAGCACCCCCTTATCAACTACAAGCAGCAGACGCATGCAGTCCCTACACCAGCCATTCTGTTACCAGTATCTGCCGATAAAAGACCACTGGCAGGTATCAAGGTCGTGGAGCTTGTCCGTATCATTGCAGGCCCAGTCATTGGAACGACGTTGGCTGCTCTTGGAGCGGATGTGATCCGTGTGAACTGCGGTCGGCTCCCTGATTTTAATGTAAGCCATTTTTACCCTCTTCCGTGTCTTCATATGAAGCTTTGCCATTTCTCAACCGGCTCCCGTTTTTGTAGTTATCTACAGGGCGTTGAAGCTAACAACTTTTAATAGGGGCTTCAACTAACGCTGAATGCTGGCGTTAGAACTGTGGATATTGACCTTGCCAAAGAGAATGAAGTAAAGCAACTCCTCGAGTTAGTCTCAGATGCAGACGTCTTCATCCAGGGCTACAGACCTGGAGTGATTGCTAAAAAAGGGCTTAGCTGTGAAAATCTCCTAGAGATAGCTGGCAAAAGAGGCAGGGGCATCGTGTACGTGGAAGAGAATTGCTATGGACCAGATGGCCCTATGGCCGAGCGACCTGGTTGGCAGCAAATTGCGGATGCTGCCTCTGGATGTTCCTACGTCACCGGGAGAAGCCTGGGCCATAAGGATGGAACATGCGTGCTCCCTGCTCTGCCTGTGCCAGATATGCTTACGGGTTTGATAGGATGCATCGGTACCATGATGGCCATCAGGGATCGTGCACGCCAAGGAGGATCCTATCACGTCTTTGCTTCCCTCATGGCCGCTGCCTCTCTCCATCTAAGCCCTGAGGTCGGATTGTACTCACCAGAGGTGGTACAGGATTGCCAAGAGAAGTTCGGCTGGGACGAAACGCGTCCTGACCTCTTTGTACTCGAGCTGCTGGATGTGGTGCTCAAGGCCTGGGCTAAAGCGATGCCAAAGTCCTTGGGAGAGGATTCACCTTACATGTCTAACCTCAAAGGTGACTGGGGCGAATTTGAAGTGCTGAAGCCGGTTGTTCAGCTGAGCGATAAAGATGCATCGCCATACTACTCATCTGCTCCAGAGCCTAACTGCTATCGCGATAGTAGTGCAATGGCATGGCGGTAGAAAAGGCTTGTAATAGATAAAGGTTTTTTTTTATAGAATGTATAAAATAATGAAATAGTTATGAGCTAGTTGGCTTTTCTTACAACCCTAGCGCAGGTCACGAACTAGAGGAGCCCAAGCATGACCAGGCCCACCAAGGACGAAACCTTGTCTATTCCTGAGCACCCTTACTTATGACCATGACAAGGAATTCTCAGACACAGAAACACGACAGGAAGCCGCTCAGGGTCTCTCAGGAGCTCGTAGACAGGTCAGACTTTGTGCCGCGGCAATAGCTTACAGTTCGACTGTCAGAGAGTGATCTCGACCTCTTTAACACTCTGGACATCTCGACAAATCCACGTGGCAACACAATTGACCTTATCTTTACCAACATATTACTTGATGGGTTTACTGCTAAGGATCTCCAACTATTTCACATTCAGTTTGGACCGACCAATCCCGCTGCGATATGGCTCCGTGGGTTGTTTGAGTGACACAAGGAAATGAGCCGGAAAGTGGAGGCAGCAGGCCGACCCTTACGATGGGACGTCTTGTAGCTGCCTGGTGAACAATGGAGTATTTATGTGCTGCAGCTGTAACCCGGGCCATCAGAAGACATTACCCCCTTAGCTTCAGTAAGCAGGTTTAAATGACCAAAACAGACTTTATCATGTTGTATTCAACTCAAGAAAGAGAACTAGCTAAATATATACTGACGTTTATTAGTAATTAACACCTCTCTGAACATATCCCGTCTCGTGAACCAAAGTCATAGACTTAAATATCTTTGTAAAATCGTTTAAACACTTGCTCCGTGCCTCCAGGTGACCAGGTCTTAAGCTAATACCGCCAGGAGGGCTGAGGTTGACAAACTCTTCCCAGCCTTTCACTAAAAGGGGCCCTTGTCCTGTGAGCAATCCTTGGACGTAGTTGAGCGCAATATCTTCACAATTAAAGTGTTCATCAACATATTCTCGAACCTTTCCCATGGTACTGTCATCAGACCAGTAATAGTCCATAAAGGAAATATGTGAGAAGCAAAGATTGGTGAGGATCATCGAGTATTCTTCGCGCTTATCTCCCGGACAGAAGTTATAGGTATATTGGCCGTTTGCGTCCATGTCGTAGCAGCGAGCAAGGGCACCAGTGAGACGATATCGACCGAATTTCTTCCATGTCTGGAACACAAATTCAAGGTCACTAGGGTGATAGTACACATCGTCATCTGTCAAGAGTATAGATTGGGTCTTGAAGTCGGGATCCGGTCGTAACTTTTCGTTTAGACTGTCTTGTAGGCCTCTCCGAAATCGCACAGGAACTCCATGCTTAGATGTGAAGTTCGTTGGCGGTAAATCATCAACGTCACCCCAGATGACGACAATTTCGTGTAGTGAGGGGATCTTTTCTTCTAGTAAGACTGATAGCGTATGGTTCAGTTCTTTCGGACGTCGGTAGGTAAGCATAGCGATGGTGAATTTGTCGCCATCTAGATGGCTATATCTAGTTTTCGCCGCATTCCAGATAGCCTGAGGAGTCCCTGCTCTTGCGATAGAAGGAGTCACTTGTTGGTTTGGGGATATGACGGGTAGAATGATTTGGCTGGCGTCCGTGTAAGTTAGACCGAGAATCAGGATTGACGCGACTGTTGTCAAGATGAAGGTTTTATTGAGGAGGAGTCGGGAGATATGCGAGCTGAAAATGTGAAGATAGACGTTGCAGGTTTCGAGAAATCCGTGCCTGGAGCTTTTGGACTGGGAAACGGGGAACATGGTTACTGATGGGGCATTGAGGCACAGAATAGCCAGTGGTTGCTGCGATTGGCGATATGATGACTGTATTTAAATAAATCGCAAGGCACATATTACATGACAAGCTCGTATCTCTTCTTATCGATTAATCTATTGGTCAAGAAATGAGGAGTATACTACAGACCAATGTGTTGCGTAAGCCTGTACTACTAATGCCATTTATGGCAAAGACTTTTAAATGTAAGTTCACTAGTACGGGAATTATGAGACGACAAGTCACTGAAGTAAATAGCGTAAAGAACCAGGCAGGGGTAGCAGTTAGGATGGAACACCGACCTCAAGAAACTGTCGAGATATCATTTATCCTCATTAGTAGACTAGTTCCATTTTCAGAGCATGATTGGGACGCGAGTCCCGTTCATTTCACAAATTGCCGGCTGGCGCGTCACTTCATGTCCAATCTAGATAAAGAAACAGAGGTATGAACTCAGGAGGCACTGGAGCGAAAGATCCCCTTCACAATTAAAGGGGCCGTGGCGCTTAAACTTAGCTCAAACATGTCTACTGTTGTCACAGGATCATTGCGTGTCAAAGATGGAACCCCAGCTCCGTTGATATCTTCTCACGCTCGTCTTATCGTGGTCTCCGTGTGACTACAGGGGACCGGGCTAGCTCACTTAGGCCAATGGGGCATCTTGTACTCCGTATTTATGGTGGCTTTTGGTGCTAGGGCTAGCCGCTGGCTAGGCTAACAGTGAAACTTCTCTCAGATATTTTTAATCGAGACAGTTTAGCGCCAGGGACCTTCAAATAAAATCATCGTTAGAAGTTTTGCGATGCCGCAAAGAGTGACAACTCGGTCCGAATTGCCGAGTTACCGAGTTATCAGTTGGTTCTAGACTTGGGCCTCACGTTTCAATCTTACTGACACCAAATGGTATGGCTCCGATTCGTGACCACTAATGGCCACGCCATCCCACTCTCCCGAACAACGTCACTCGGTGTCAGTCCCGGGAGAGCCCACATTACGTTCAAGAGTACAGCTGAAGTAAATCCCCTTACGAGCTCATATAAGATATGCCTGTATTACTTTTGTGTGCACTACCTATTGATGGAAATGAGTACTTGTATTGCACTAATGAAAGTATTTTTTTCAAAAGAAAAGCTACTGCAAGATTGTGGCATTGCAAATTTAAGCATCATTTAACTGAGTGCAAGTATCACGGAGTTTGAAAGAGTAGTGAAGGCGCCAACAGAGCTCTATTGACCGTGAAGGCTCAACAGTCTAAATGATGGCACTTATTAGCTCTACATCTGAGGGCTACTTGGATCGTCTATTGTAATAACAAGCTTGCCCATCTGTCGTCCAGCTTTCATATCATCAAACATCCCATCAATATCTGCAAGGCTGCTCAGACCTTGCACTACTCTACTGATCACTGGTCGGATTTCTTTGCTGTCGACGAAGGCGACCATGTCTTGAAACTCTTGCCTAGAGCCCATCGTAGTTCCCTTCAATTCCGCATTCAGAAGAACCGCTGGCATAGTCCAATTCATCTTCGGCGAGACGGTCATACCATATTGAACAATGACGCCACCAGGTTTGAGAAGCTTCACAGCTTTGGTAACGATATCACCGCCAGCGCCGTCAATGACAGCATCGATGAAAGGCCTCGATGACGGAAGCTGACGGCGAATATCTGCATCCCACTTCTCCATCTTGTAGATCGCGCCGCCTTGCGCACCCAAGTCTCTAGCTCTCTCGAGCTTTTCTTGGCTCCCAGATGTAACGAAGACATTGGCACCCATAGCCACGCCAAACTGCAAGGCTGAGAGAGCAACGCCGCCTCCGATACCTGTAACCAGAATATTCTGGCCTGGCTGGACAGCAGCTTTGGTGACGAGTGCACGCCATGCTGTAAGTCCTACCAGTGGTAGAGCTGCGCCCTCTGTAGGGGATAGGTGTTTCGGGGCCGGAACAACCTCATCCTTGTGAACGCAAACAAAGTCTTGGGCTGTGCCAACGTCATAGAGACGGGTGGATCCGGTGATGGACCATTTTTTAGGGTCCTCTGGGCCACTTGGGTCGGCAATCCAGCCTCGCATCGGAGTCAGGAGGACGTTTTCTCCGAGTAAGGGGCTATCAGAAACACCCTGCCCAACTTCAGTAATCACTCCATAACCATCCTATAACATGGGATGGTCGAGGGATATGGCGGGGKACTGATGTTGTCTAACGAAGAGATCGCGATGGTTCAACGCAGCTGCTTTGAGCTGGACGAGGACCTCATGTTCTCCAGGGACAGGCTTGTCAGCCCTTCTGAGCTGGAGACTGCCAGTGAAGTCAGTGTTGGTAATTGAATCACTCTCAGAAAATGGGATGGAACTTACGGGTAGTAAATTTCCCCAGGCTTTCCTGAAGCCTGACCGAGATGCAGCACGCGCTGCAAAGCTACTCTTGATTCTTTGGAGGCCTTCAACATGGTCATCAAAATGACAATTGTTCTTTGGGGACCGTTTTTCAGTGTCTTATAAAAGCGCCAGATCGATTATCAGTGATTCTTAAGACTTGAGGCGTCACATTCGCCGGACCGTATCCATTGGGCTTATCGGACGATGCTAGGTGGGCACGGTCCGGCCAGGAAACCAATCAAAACCTTATGCTGGATCAACTGGAGCTATATATCATCTCATCTTAAAATGTCCTTAAAAAACATCGTGTTCGAGCCCTGCGGTGTCGTCACGCTTTGCGTTAGAGAAACAGATCTTGTTATTTCTAGAGCGTTTAAAAACTACGTCTAGAGCGCCGCGAGTCTTTGAGCCCATGCTCTTTGGGCTATTTATAGAGTTAGAACCAACAAAAGGCGAGGCCAGAAATAGGGTTTTCAAATTCTGCTACAAGCAAATGAGAATGCCGTCCTGAAGTGAGACAGGTAGAGAGGGTTTCATTGCATCATACTGCATGCCCGAAGCTGCCGATTGAGAGAGACTGGCCAATTACGGGGCCAGATGTCATAACCCGAATACAACTACGGGGTAAAGTCGGCACTAATTCCGACAAGAGCAGCCATTGTTGTATTTAATAACAACGACGATGACAAGAAGTTGATAAAACTAGGTTACTCTGAACTCCCCCTTTCAATTGAAGGATCATAACCCTGCTGAGTTTAACATTCCTTGCTGTACCTCTAACCCATGTGCATGTTTTCCAAATCTTTCCCCCACGAAACGAGATAAATCGCTATGTCTATTGTAGAATCAGCGTATAGGCCCTCGAGTGGTCAAGGATTGATTTGTGGGATACTGATACTCGTAAGTTCTGATCTCCTTCGCGCATCTGCGAGTCAATTGGTTCAATGGTAACTGATGCCTTTCTAGGTTCTGGTCCAGATTGTGCGCTACTTAGTCTCTCCAATTCACCGTCTCCCTGGACCTATCACGGCGAAGGTATCCTCTTTCTGGCTTGCATCACAATGCCGAAAGGTCCAGCGTTCCAAGGAAGTTCTAAAGTTGCACCAGAAGCACGGCGACTTTGTTCAAATTGCGCCCAATCATGTGTCCATCAATAACCCCGACGCAATTCAACAGATCTATGGCCATAAGACTGGATTTATCAAGGGTCCTTTCTACGATGCGTTCCACCAGGTGACGCCGGTAGTCTTCAACACGAGAAATGTGTCAGAGCATACGCGGAAAAGAAAGTATATCAATCCCGCATTTTCCGCTCGAGCCTTGTCGGACTTTGAGCCTTATATGGATGCTGAAATATTCGGATGGAAACACCAACTACTCGAGATTTCCAATGGATCAAACCCAAGGGTCGACTTTTCCGTCTGGAGTGAGTTTGCGCGAATCGGCAATAAGATGATTCTCTACTAATACCGTTTCCCTAAAAAGCGAATTACCTGGCTTTTGATGTTATTGCTAGCTTTGCTTTTGGTGAGCCCTTTGGCTTTGTTAAGAAAGGTGAAGACGAATATGGTCTCATCGAAATCATTGATACCCGCGGCGAATTTATGAACGCGCTTGGATCGCTTTCGCCTTTCCTAAGATCTGTGATGAGGTATAACCCTCTCGACTCATTCTGGAAAAATGGATTCCAAGCATCCGCAGGCCTTGCAAAGATTGGAAAGGAAGCATTCGAGAAGCGAAAAGTCTCAGCTGACAATAGCCGAAAAGACTTACTAAGCTTCCTTTTCAACGCAAAGGATCCAGAAACAAAACGGTCCATTCCAGAGGATGAAATCATCGCCGAGTCGATTAGCTTCATAGTTGGCGGGAGCGATACAACAAGCAGCACAATGACTAATTTTATCGACTTTGTGTCTCGGGATGCCGATTTACAGAACCGGATTCAGGACGAGATTGATATGATTTTCCCAGGAGAGCCTTCCGATGACTGGGTGCCAACTGAAAAGGAGTTGAACGAGCTGTCGTTACTAATTGCAGCTTTAAGAGAAGTCATGCGCTTCCGACCAACCAGTGCCACTGGGTTGGAACGAGTGACACCACAAGGTGGAAAGACCATAGCCGGACAGTTCATACCAGCAGGCGTAGGTTAATAAATGTGAACAGACCTTGGATTTCGCTGATCATAAGACCAGACGTTAGTAAGCGTCCCAACCTTGGGCATTATGATGGATCCACGGATCTTTGAATCACCCAAGGCATTCAGACCAGAGCGATGGCTTGAGCCAGGTGCAGATAAGCGCATGGAGTACTTTTACCCATTTTCAACAGGACCAAGATCATGCATCGGAAGAAAGTTAGTCACACATAAGACTTACCAATGTTTTGCATACTAATAGCTGCAAGCTTCGCCTGGATGGAGATCTTGAAAGCAGTAGCGGTTGTCTTTAAGCTATTCGATGTCAGGAGAATAAATCCTGAACCCACAGTGGTTAGAGAAGGCTTCTTCAACAAGGCCGTGGAATGCGAAGTTGAGATACATAAGAGGCGTTTCAATTAGGATGCCTGGAACGTATATTATAAACTGTAATTCAATGTTCCGCTTCCCCCGGGAGACCAATCATACACTCATTTCTACTAATTTACATCAAAGCCATCTTAAGCATGGAACTATGTGAAAGCCATGACTCTAGTAAGCGGCTGTTCTGTCTCTGTCAACATGAGCCTCCTTGACATGCTGTCCCTTGACGCGGTGTTCCTTGTAGCGGTCACGGACTTCGTGGAATGCCGCAGTGATAGCATGGAGGATACTGTAGGAGTCAGCTATTGAACAGTGAAGAGGTTTATTTATAACACCTACGTGCTGATGATGGCGAGGATGAATGTACCCCACGGAAGGTTACAACTATCATCTGACGAGTCTGCATTGATTCCAAAGGTACTTGAGAAACCTTCAGTCCTGTAGCAATGACGAGGACCTGCCATGCCGCCATTAGGTCGGGTAAGAACAGAGACCGCTATGAAAGCTCCGACAAAAGCAATGTCCAACAAGACCCAAAGCCAGCGAAGCCATCTCGGACCACCACCCTTGAGCAGCAGCGAGATCAGCGTAGCGATGAGTGTGTACAGAACGGCGGCTGCCAGGATGCCTTCAACGGCGCCATAGGAACTGTTGACACCGCGACGTGTCTTGATGGCATTGACGAGATTGTAGACCTTGCGAAGACGGGCTGAGAATAGACCAAGGGATATAATGGCAGAGAGGAATTGCACAACGCGTGTAAGGCGAAGGAACCAGCGATAAAGGCGGGAATGTTTGAGCTTATCTGGGACCCAGCGAGTCAATAACCCTGTTTCGCGCCTGCGATCGTAAGTGGTGCCGTAGTCGGTGGGACCAGCGCGATTATCGTAGTGAGCCATCGTGATGCGGTGAATATGCTGAAGCAATAGTGTTGGAACGGGCTCCTTGGTTGACAAGGATATGTGTTAAGACTTGGAAATAGATGAGATGGAATCTTTTCCCTACCAATTGCTACTTAGTTATAATTTTCGTAGTTTATGCGAGACGTCATAATGTCACACGAGTCAAGGCATCACATTCCTAGCCCTGACATGGCCAGTCTGTCACCGTCGTCATGGATCAGAGTTTCAGCCTCACAATGACATCCCAATCACTAAATTTATTTCTTGTGTTCATCTCAATCAGTCAAGACGCGGGAAGTGCCTTGTCTTGATATGTATTGCGATTGGATGTGTCGTGGTTTGAAGTCCACTGCATCGGGAAGAAATGCTCCGGGCCAGTGCCGAGAGGCTTGGCTTACGATATACAGTGTCACCAGTGACGATTTTCCCAATTCGGCACTTCAAAACCGGATATTATTAGAGTTGAGTTAGTCTCGGATTGCAGATCTCTCAATCAATGGTGCATTCAGAATCGCTCCCTGGTTCAATATGTTGCCTATATACAAGACTCGTGCTGAAGAAACCAGACAGAAAGGCTTGTCGCTGCAAAGAGTAAGATGGCATTGAATCAGAGTCCTTTGATGTGTTTTTTCTTTCACTCTATAACCGATAGGTTTCGGTCTATATCGGTAATGGCTGGCATTGACAAACATATGTGACTCTCAGAGGGAATCCAAGAAGTCACGTAAGATATCCTCCTCGCTCGCAAAGCCTTGCTGACCAATCTCTCGCAAGATACCCTCAGCTCGTTTGATAAGCGCACCTGCATTGGAGAGATCCCTCCCTTCTACTGCCTGGTCTTTGCCCTTCACCAACTTCTCTCCCTTTAGCGAGGTAAGTCGAATCTTGTACCGTAGCTCATTCCACCGAATTGTGACAGTACGCAAATATTCGCTCGTTCCCAAGGGAAGGGAGAGCTACTGCCGCAACCAAGAGACGTGCTGCATCCTGGACATCAGTGCACTATGCTGTGAGATGCGTCAATCTCAACCACTGGCAATGACGTGTGAAGATAGAGTGCTTACCGACTTGGCCAAATACCTTGTCCCATTCACCTTCAGCCGCCGCTTTCAACATGCGGAAGGTAGAACTAGTGTTTTCTGGATCCAAGACCTTTCCAACCTGTCCATCAGATACGACACAGTTTGCGACAAAGGAAGGCTGGTACTTGCCAACCCACGACCAGAAGGCCAATTCCGCCAAAGCCCGACTGGCACTATAGACGTCGACAAATCTGTCGATATCATCGACGTTAGGCTCACAGCAAGCCTTCCCGATGGCTTCGCAATTGAACATGCTTGACATTTGGTGTGGGTGGTTGTAATTAGTAGACTCGACTGCCTTGGAGCTTGAACTGAGGACGTAGCGCTTCACTCCAGCGCGAGCTGCAGCCTCGAGACTGTTGATAGTGCCTTTTCCCACTGGCTCTACCACCTTTACAGGATCTGCATGCAGTATGATCGGTGTTGAAACATAGATAACGCCCTCGGCGCCTGTGGCCCTATAGTCAGCTCCGACCGAATAGAACAGAAGAGCACCCTCTTACCTTTGAAGGCCGCATCAAATGCCCCTTCAGCTTCAGAGTCGGCCACATGCACCAGCTCAAACATGCCTGACCACTTGATATCAAATAGCCTATGCATCCATTGTCGATTCTTTTCGACATCTCTCACAGTTCCTCGGACAGAGAAGCCTGCCTGGAGGAGTTTCTCACAAGTCTCAACCCCCATGCAGCCATTAGCACCGATGACTACAACGGTGGAGCCAGAAGGGACTGCAGGTTTAGAGATATGCATGGTGGCAGCTTGGGTAAGGATGTAGAAAAAAAGGAATAAATTGCCGTAATATTGAGAGCTTGTCGCACTATTAAATAGTATATATGCGCCCTAGTAAGACGATTTATAAAATATTATAAATCTCGCATTGCTTAGTATTAGGCAGTGAGGCTAGCGTTGCGCGCATGTCCTGAACCCCAAGATCATATTATAAACCATCACAAGGGGGCATTAATCTGTCCACTCAATCTCCAAGTCATCATCTCCATTGTCTAGTAGAGCGGCTCTGTCGGCTCACCTGCCTATTGCAGAACAACATTTGGCAGGTTTTGATTATCCCTATCCCAGGGGAACCCGTTCGCCCTAAGATCGGCGGTTGATCTCTCGGTTTCCATAACTACTATACATTGATATTCGCTAACATTCATGCTAACAATCCGGTACAGGCCTCTCGCTATATGCTTGGTGACCTGTATAACTGCATGGTGTATATGCTCGTTGGTTCCGGTTCGAAGTGTTCGAAAGTCTGAGTCCCCCTGCAGATTGATGTAGATAACCTCGACTCTGTAGATCATGGTGCCAAATTCTGGGGCTTGTCCAGGTGGCCATGAAGCCGGACTGGTAGAGGGGTCCACGGTATAGATGACTCTATTTTGGTTTGCCATATTGCTTGGATTTTTCGATAAGGTAATTGATAAACTGATATGAGGGTTTTACTCTAGAATAATAGTAATAGGAGAATAGTTATGTATTTATTTACAGATTGATAGCATAATGATGAGCATAGGAGCAGCCAATAGTATTAATGCCGCAAAGAGATTATCCTTATTCCTAATACGGCAGTGCATGACCTCATTCCACGGACCTCGGCGGTGCAAAAATGTCTCTTATCACAATTATCTTTCAAGGCAGCGTGTGCATCTACTAGCCTATTTGTGCCGCCCTTATACGGTACTTTTGGAACCCGACAAATCACACTGCTCCTTCCGGGGTCCTAAGGAGCATGGTCGGGAGATGTATCTGTTGGTGGTCAGGTTGGAATTAGAGCGAGGAATGCCAAGTGCCAACAACCAACAGAACTTATCATTTGTTCAAGCTGAGGAACTTATGTCTTCTTCGCTTTGACCATAAACATGCCACTATGCATTAAGCTAACGACGAAATAAACTTAAATGACTGATATATACTTTTGTTGGTTGTTAGTCTTATGCATACCGGCAAGCTTTGCCGAAAGATAAGGTAAGAAGAGGGGTAAGACGTAGGCCATGCTTGCCTCTTATGATATATTTTAAAATTCAGTTCTGCTATTATGTTAAGCTAGAACAACTAGCTGATTGCGCCGAAAGAAGTCTAAGAGTGTGGTTTTAAGAGACCTTAAAATATTTAGTGTAAGACAGCAAATGGTAGGCCAATTTGTCTTTCGGAGTTGCTTCAGTTAAGGGAAACCGCGCTAAGATACCTGGTCAGGGTGATCCGACTTGGAATTTCCAACACAACTTGCTGCTCGGACAATTCCTAGCAAGCAACAACCAACAACAGATGATGTCTGGCCTCTCGCTTTTACACAAGCTGTTCTCTTACGAGCTTTACCCCGGATCGGTCGGCATGCAACTTCAACCTATAAGGCTCCCCGGAAGGCACATCCTCAACCGGCTTTACGGCTAGATATTGGGTTCTGTTCGTCGTCAACCAACAAACAAACAACAAACAACAGTTAGCTACTCTCTTACGAGTTTCGTCTCGGATCTATCGGCATGTAAGGCAACCATCAAGTCACAGTCTCGTCCCTTTTTGCGGCCAAAGAACAAGAACAGTTCTTATTCTCTTGGCAGAGAGCCGACTCAAAAGATGGTTATAAAAGAGGCAGTAGCCGTCATATTTAAACATAATCATCTCATAAACGTACAAATCTATACAAAAGTCCTTGGTAAGATCCCCTGAGCTCAAAAGCTCGGCTGTTAACATATTGCTAGTACCAATTTCTTCAACATGTACGGAATTCGCGACTCTGGGAATATAATCCTCATACTTGCTATTCTGGGAAGTATCCCAGGCAGCATAGTGGCCGGTTTGCCTGTTACCCCGAACAAAGGTATCAAAGGCAATGTCGACTCAGCAGAGCAAATCTTCTACGCTGTAGATTGCGATACCCATACCTACGGTATAGCCCGCCACTGTCAGGCTCGATGTAACGGAAGGGGTCACGTTATCTTCAACGAGACCCGATGCCCTATCGGATCAGAAAATGCCGATGATATCTACTCGGATTGTTGGTGCGCTCCAGAATGCGTTCCTTGTAAGGAGGAGGATGAAGAATAGCCTTGGGGGGGGATATCCGTCTCTGAGTGCTTTATGGAATGGTGAACAGGTCCTGCATCTAGTTAAGAAGCTAGGATAAAGCCTACATGAGGGATGCTACATTCCTCGCTGATCTATACAGTATGTCTATTTCTCAGATGTTTGGCACGTACTGAATTAATGGGCGCTGATGGTAATATGTTATAAGCAAGGCCAGGCCGTTTATCTTCAAGGATCTAGGCCACCACTAGGGTTTGTTTTAATGTTGAAATGTCTTTGGTGCAGAGGTATCTTTTGAGGTCTGACTGTACGCTATATAGAACCGTTGCTTTAGGCGTGACTCAGACCATGACTTTGCCCAGAAGGAAAACTGCGTCCTTGTTGCTGAAGTTGGCCACGTCCCCCATTATCTCTGCGACCTCAGGCCCTGCGAAAGCAATCTTGACCTGGCTTTGATCCTCCCATTCGACAATGGATCCAAATGCGTAGGGGCTGGGTGAACCGTCTAAGCCATTTGTGAATTGTGTAGCCGACCAGCTTTTGACACCATATTTACTCCATTTTTCTTGAATAAGAGGCATGTGCTTGGATACATAGTAGTCAAAATCGTATTTGGCATCCGGCTCATTGGGAAAAAGGACAGTGACAGTGAAGGTCATGGTGAAGGTGATTTTGAATGAGGCTTGGGGTGAAGAAAGTCTTAGTGTCTTTTATATGAGTAGAATTGATGGTGACATCGATCAGAGAGAATACTGATGGCAGGCCAGTAGATCTTTATGCCGGAGCAATTAGAGCTGGCGGCGGCCGACCACGCCTTGTCCGGCGGCGTTATCGGGTATACTCGTCATCATCAGACTTTAAGTTTGATATGGCCCACTTCGATCTAATAGTCTTACAAATCACGGCTCAAGCGACTAGCGAGGTAGGTGGCGTGGAATTGTCAGTTGGCACAGATTACTAGCCTTCCGAAAAGGACTACCTCGCACGGCAAAAGGATTTCGAGGTGGCAGCACATATATGAGAGCGTACTCTGCCTTTGGAGATTCCATCTTAACTACCGCTCTTATAGCAGCAAACGTCCTGAACAGTTACGTTCCTGTTTTCATCCCTCACCATGTCAACGGGACAGAAGCTTTTGGTTGTCCTTACATCGCAAGATGTCCTTCCCACGCGGTCCAACATGAAAACAGGGTGGTATCTTCCTGAGCTGGTCCACCCATACAACGATTTGAATGGCCACCTCGATCTCGTTGTGGCTTCTCCTAAGGGAGGGGAAGCTCCTGTTGACCCGTACTCTATTGAGGACTCTAAGAATGATGCAGCTTGCCAGAAATTTTTCAAAGAGAAAGAGCATATCTGGAAGAATACCCAGAAGCTCGAAGGCTTCCTTGGTAAGTCTTCCGAGTACGTCGGAATCTTTTTCGTCGGAGGCCATGGACGTACGAAAATCCATTCCAACTACCGCACCTTGATTTACTTACAGTTTGCGCTAGCCATGTTCGATCTCGCCGTAGACCCTACGTCTCACGCCCTAATTCGTGAATTTTACGAATCAAACAAGTTGGTCTCCGCTGTTTGCCACGGGCCAGCAGCTCTGGTCAACGTCAAGCTGTCAGACGGAAGCTACATGGTTCAGGGACAGACAGTCACGGGATTCTCCAATGCCGAAGAGGATGCTTACAAGTTCACTGATGCAATGCCGTTCCTGCTCGAAGACAAGCTGAAGGAACATGGCGGTCAGTATGAGAAGGCAGATCAGCTCTTTGGCGTCAAGGTGGTCACTAGCGGTAAGAGCGAGAACTTGATTACGGGACAGAATCCTCCGAGCGCTGGGGTCATTGGCAAGGTGTTGTTGCAGGCTATCCAGAAGGTTTAAGCCGTGGCGAGATTAAATAGCTTGCGAGTCAAATCACAATTCAGAAATTATACTTGCCACTTGACGAACCAACCTGCAATAGCGGTGAAGGGAAAATATTCATGAGTGACATACGAGTCGAAATCCTCAACCATTTCCTCTCGAGTAAAGAACCCTGTCATGTCTTGGACACTGCCAAGCACATTTAGAGGTGAGACGATTGAGTTTGGCATGTGCCGATCTCATTAACCTCTTGTGGCTAGCCATCCGGAGTACGCCAAGAGTTTTACCTGCACTCCACAGGCTAAGCCTCTAGCGGTTACCATTGGGCGATAACCTTGTCTTGACGCGCAGACTTCAGAAATATGGCATAATCTCGACCAGAGACTGACTTCTTCCTCCTCTTCTTCTTTGATGCCTCATCCCATCCCCTACAGTTCGCTTCATACGGCCAGAGTATCTCTTTCTGTCTCTCCTACTGTAATCGACTAGTTCACCTCAAGGATTCTTTCCTGGCACCAACCTCGAAAGAAGCACAGAGTGGGGGATGCGTAGTCGTCCAACATGGTCAATACCGGCCGACCCTCAATGGACTGTCTGCCCTGCAGACGACGGAAGCTCCGAGTATGCCCATTGGTCATTCCAGTTCTGTAAAGTGATAAGAGTGGCTGACATGTGACCCTAAGTGCGACCTGAAACCTGAATCTTGTGGCCAGTGCCGCCGGGCCAACATCTCATGCCACGGCTACCGGAATGTTAAGGACCTAGCGTTCCGTGACCAGACACGTGTAGCCAGGCAAAAGGTGGCGGCTCGCCAAGGGTATGATTATCAGCTCATTACGTTGCCTTCGCCGATGCTTGACCTAGACCTGGACGTCGAGGCAAGGTGCAGAGATACGTTCTTCCTACTTTATGTTACCGGCCTATCACGGAGTTGCTCCTCTCTCCCACCACTATATAACCAGGCACCGATCTCTAAGCATCTGGCATACAGTGTGAATGCAGTCGGCCTTGCGTTTTCGGCAGTTCAGTTCGACAGCCAGGAACTAGTCAGAACCGCCTTTAACAGATACTCGGCCGCTATAGGGAGTTTAAGGCATTCACTTTGCGAGCCGAACGTGTTGATCGGTGATGATATTTTGCAGTCAATACTGCTTCTCGACATATTTGAAAAGCTAGCAACACCAAGCCTTGGCATGGCAGGGTCCTCAATGACCCATATTCGAGGGGCAATGTCAATCATCGAGTCGCGGGGAAAGTTGAACTTTACAAGTGCTTTGTCAACTCAAATTGCCAGGAACATTCTATCACACTTTATAATTAGTTGTGGAATGACCAAAACCTTTATCTCTGACTCCCAGGTCGCCGTCTGGAGGGATCTTTCTGGGCTAATCACTGATAGTAAATGGGATTACATGGGAATCCTTGTGGATATTGTCAACTTGAGGGCCATGTTGGCCAAAGCAATAATGGCTGACGACAGCGAGACAAAAGAACGGGTGTTCAACATTAAATACAGGCTTGAATACCTTGCAGATTCATTGGAAAGGTCTTGTGGGCCTTTGGCCGTCATCTTGAGAGATTGGCAAGCCTTGGACGGAGAATACGATGCTTACCCGAATCACTTTACAATGCAACTGCACAACGCCGTACGCATGATGCGTTTAGAGATGGAAGGATTGATAAGGGATAGGTGCTACAAGCAGAATGGTGAAGTGATTAACAAGATCGCCAAGCAGATATGTCGCTCTGTTACGCATTACATCATGCCCAAAGCTGGGCGAGAGAATTCTGAGCCTTTCACGCAGATGCAGAAGCTGGAGTGCAGGGTACTAATGGCACCTCTGTATCAGGCTGCTCAAATGTCAACCGAGAATTGCGTACAGGCATGGATATGGAGAGTACTGGAGTGGATAGCAGAGAAGGGAAACATGCGGATAGCAAGGGATGTCCTCGAATTATCGAAGAAGAGACTGGACATGGACTACTGGACTATCTGGGCTAAGGCAGGATGCTATGCAACAGCGGCGTAAGATATGCTGCAAGCGTATTACATGAGCCCGGACATTAGGTTTAAGTCCAACCAATACGAGTATTCGTAAACAAGTCAGAGGCCACTAAATTAATCGGGCCGAGTGCAATCTCGCTGAGGTTAGTTACAGGTTAGAAAAGCTTATTCATATTAGAACCTAAAATGGATCGTCCATCTCGGCCTTTCCTGCAAACCGAAAGCCGAACTGGGTCTAGGGTCATGATTCAGTAATGCATCGTAGCAGCTATTTAAGTCCGACAAACCTCGCAGCAAGCCTGAAGTACAATCATCACATCCTTCAATTACCAGCAAGGTATAACATTATCCCATCTTATATCACTCACAATGACTCGGGTTCTTGTTACAGGTATATCTCATTAGCATGCATCTAACCTGCTTTTGTAGTTAACGCTCGGTGTAGGTGGCACAGGATTCGTCGCTGGACATGTGATCGATGTTCTCCTTCAGCGAGGCCATAGCGTCGTGACTACGGTTCGCTCAGAGCAAAAGGCCCAGTCAATCCGCCATGAGTTTCAAGGCGTTAGTGAAGAGAAGCTCGACTTTGCTATCGTTCCCGACATTGCAGCCAAGGATGCCTTCCAGGGCTTGGGTGCATATGGCCTCGAAGCGGCCATCCACGTTGCAAGTCCCGTGAGTCAATGGCGGGTTCATAAGTTCCTTTCGAGCTTCCGAAATTGACGCGTTTGTTCCAGTTCCACTACAATATCACAGACGCCAAAAAGGATCTGATCGATCCAGCTGTCCTTGGCACAACTTCAGTGCTTGAAGCACTCCACAAGACTTGTCCCACCGTTCGGCGAGTTGCGCTGACATCATCGTTTGCTGCGATACTGGACCCTAAGCTATCGTTCACTGGTGCCAAGAAGACGTACACTGAGGCCGATTGGAGTCCTCTTACTATGGAAGATGCCTACTCCAACCCTGGACTTGCCTATGCTGCATCAAAAGCACTCGCTGAGAAGGCTGCTTGGGATTTTATGGCTGACAAGAAACCCGGTTTCTCGCTTACAACAATCTGTCCTCCCATGGTCTACGGTCCAGTCAAGTATCCAGTCAAGTCTCTCGACTCAGTCAACACATCCAACCAGCTGCTGGCTGACATTATCAGTGGGAAGCACAAGAGCGGGCTTCCTCAAACCCAACTACCTCTCTGGATTGACGTCCGTGACGTGGCGTTGGCCCATGTCAAGTCCGTAGAGACAGAAGAGGCAGCGAACAAGCGTATCTTTGTCACTGCCGGGTACTACAGTAATCAGGAGTTATATCGCATCCTGTACGAGAACTTTGCAGATTTGCGGGACAGGCTACCGGAAGAGGCCAATAAGGGAGGCGATCCAAACCCAGCTCTCGATTCGTTTGGCTTTGATGCCACCCGGGCAAACACAATTCTTGGAATCGACTGGATTTCGTATGAGAAGACAGTCATTGATTCAGTCAAGTCTCTTCTCTGAACTTAACAAGAGCATGTTTCGGACACTTTTTGGTATATGACTTCAAATTTTATAAGGAATTATTTGATCAGAATCCCTGCGCATTGTGCGAATCACCAAGGCAGCTCTTTGTTTTCCCATGAAAGGAATCTACCTGATGTCGCGTTCTTTGTTGCGCCATCTATAACACTCACGATTCCATTTACACCATCCTGCACAGAAACAGGAGCTGCCGATAATCCTGAGCTCTGTGCAGCATGATTTCCAAGCTAGTATCAGTCAGATCAAGGCCCAACGAGAGTTCTTATGCAGTAGATTTAGAGATTTGCTTACGTCAGTTTGAAGCCACCCAGGATTGATGCTGAAGGCCACGAGATCCGGATTCTCGAAGTGTATTCTCCGTGTGATGAAATTAAGAGCTGCTTTAGAAGACCCATATGCAGTATTTTCAACTTTCAGATTTTCCATAAGCCCAAGGCTTCCTGCACCTGAAGAGATAGTCACAAACTTTGGGGTTTTCGCAGCGTGGATGAGGGGGCAGGTTGCTTGGAACAACAGCAGTGGTGCCACGGAGTTGATCCTGAAATGATCAATCATCTCCTTGACTGGGGTCATCTCTGCCGTTCCAAAGTACTTGGAGACTCCGGCATTAGCGATTACCAAGTCAAGCTTTGCGATGCCGTGATCTCGTCTCAAACTCTTGATGGCTTCCAGGGCGTCCATCTCGGAAGCACTGTCGATCTTGACTAAGATGCATCTGGTGTTGGTGCCTTTGCTGACATTCAATAACTCCTTGGAGCTTTCGGCTGTCGGATCACGGACAGCAGCGACGACAACATGGTTAGTACGGGCGATATACGTCTCAAAGAGGCCTCTCCCAATACCTGAAATTGATTGCACGTGGTTAGACTAGTGGGAATAGAATTTGACGCATCAAGAGAACATACCACGGTTGCAACCAGTAAGAAGCACATATGTAGCTTGTGACATGATTCACTTATCAAAAGAGAGCAGCAAGGTAAGAGATAAAGTGGCGAAGTCAGTGTCCCTTGTTACTATGACGATAAGAGAGCAAGCCTGCTTTATATAGGTGTCGACTACGCCATCTCTGCTTAAGGCTAGCAACCGGTGCGATTATACCCCGCACTATGATGATCCGGCTGCACCCGAGGACTGGGCAGACTTTGTTTCTAAGGTATAAAAGAAGTATTATTAAAGAGTGGCAGAAGGACAGCATATTCTTGTGCTTGAGAAGAAGTAAATACAGAAATTAGATGTAAGTACACTTCTATCTTTAAGTTGCAACTTAGATCTAAGTTCTGTCTGACGGAATAAGCTCTCAGCCACATGTAACATTGAATGCTGCCTAGCTTCGCTTTTTAATTACAATGTGCTGACATACAAGCTCTAACAAGGCCTCAAAATGTAAGTTAACCTAAGCATGGTGACAAATAGGGTTAGCGTTACGCGTATGCTGTATGTCGTATCGGCAGTGGAACCCTAAAAACCATATCAATGACCATAACAAAGAAGTATCAGTGCATGCTTGTTGAGAATTAATCAAGCCTGCGTATTTGATGCTGTATGGGGTAGTTTTTGCGCAATATCGGGGATTACAGAGGGTTTAATTGAAACGACAAAAGAGTTATACGATTAATCATCAAGATGCCTAGTAAACCGTATTCCGTAATGTTCTCAATAGGAAAACTTATATTTTAATGAAAGTTTGCTAATACTAGTAACTGAACCTATACTCCTATTTGCCTTCTCGATTAATATATATCAAAATGCCTTCTTATCTTGTAACAGGAGTATCGCGCGGCTTAACCCTAAGTCTGGCCGATGCTATTTTGCCTACCCTACGACTAACCCACACTTATCGGGATTCGGTTTTATCCAAGTACTTTCCAGCAACCCCGATAATACCGTTATCGGCCTGGTCCGTAACAAAGCCGCAACTGAGAAAAAGTTTGCTGAAGAGCTTGATTCTCCTGATAAGGTCTATATTCTTGAGGCCGACATTACTGACTACCATGCATTGAAGGTTCAAGCTCTCACTCAAGGTATCTTTGCACCAAAGCTAACAAGAGTGTAAGGTGCTGTCTCGGCTGTCTCGGCTGTCTCGGCTGTCTCGGAAATCGCTGGAGGTTTTCTTGACTACGTCATTGCAAATGCAGGCCTCATAGCATTGTCGTCTCAATGGGATGCTGTTGATGAGCTGTAGGTCGATTCCATCATTTGTCTATGACCTGGCTTCTGGGAATGACATCTCACAATGTAAGAGAGCCAGGGACCTCGAACACCTTGTCAAGGATCTCCAAGACTCATTCAACGTCAACGTGATTGGAAACTTCCATCTCGTTAACCTCTTCACCCCGCTTGTTCTCAAAGGGCAGGGCAAGAAGGTCATCGCCATTTCATCCGGCATGTCCGACATTGATTTCATCCGTCAATTTGAGATCGAGCCAGCTCCTGCATACGCCATCAGCAAAGCAGGCACAAACGTTGTCACCGCCAAGTTCGCCGCTCGCTACGCCAAAGAAGGAGTTCTTTTCATAAGCATCTGTCCTGGAAACGTAGATAGTCGTTTTGAAGGAGATTGTAAGTAGCTGTGGCGATTTCAATACTGAACAGTGCTGACATTATACAGTGACTGAGTAGCAGAAAGAAAAGGTGGCCAAGCTCGGGAGCAAGTTTGTCAATTATGCCCCGCACTTCACGGGCCCGAGCACCCCTGCAGACTCGGCCAAAGCTGTGTTGAAAGTTATGAATGAGGCATCCTTGGAGAAAGGGAGTAGTGGGGTTCTTGTTAGCTTCAGTTACATCAATTATGTCATCCCATCGTTCTTTATATAATTTGGCATTACATTGATCCTCCCATTGGATCAGATTATGCAGGGCGGTGCTACGCGCTGGTAGCTAATAATAACACCTTTCATTCCAACAGCCGCGCCCGTCTTCCCCTCATCTGCCACGTGATCCCGCAAGAATCTAAGGCTGCCTTGTTTTCTTCATTCTCATACTACAATGCAAATGTTTGTATCTCAGCCTATAGTATCAAACCATACACGATAGCGTTAATCGTCCATCCTTCACTGCACAAGATGACGCTAGAGAATTTGGCACCCGAGCTTATCTCTATCATCCTACGAAATGTCGACTCACCTCGTGAGCTCCATGATATGATCTCAGCATCGCCGTTATGCCTCAATGTTTTCTCCAAAACGCCCGAAAGCTTTCTCTCATCCGTGATCCGAAATTCGGTACCAACGGATATCTTAAGACATCTTATTGCTGTCCACCAAACTCCCTCGCCAGCAACGAAGAGTACAGTATCCGAATTCCTGCAAAAATACTTCAATGGCGCCTGGTCTTTCGATTTTCCAACCAAGAAATCAGAGCTGGTGTTGCTTTGCAGACATTACAACCGGATGACATTCATGATTTCCTGTTACACGGAGTACATGTGCAGGCTTGGTTTAGTCGACTCGGTCCTTATCCTCACCTCAACAGAATGCATACGACTGCGGAGGGCGTTCCTCCGATTCGAGATCTACTGTCGCGTCTTTCCAGCTAACAATTACTTTCCATTCCAAACGGTTTCGGCGAACGATGAATTTTCTTCTGTTGAACAGTTTGATCTCTTCATTACTCGTCTCTCACCGTGGGAAGTGGAAGAGATAGCTTGCGTCGAGCTATACATCACTCTTATGATAAGGGATTACATTGACGAGCTTGAGAGTCAGTTCATGTCCACTGCCGATATGTATGCAAGACTTGCATGGCCCTTGCTCTCCGAACCAGAACCAGAACCCGGAGCAGAGATAGACAACGAGACGGAAAGAAATCGTGAGCGGGATAATCTTATTGAGCTCAAGACATTAGACCAAACCAGCCTCTCGTTATTCTCTAAAATAGGCAGATATCATTCTTCAGATAACATCAGCTACATGACTTCGCTGGGTCTTGACTTTATCTACGATTTATGTACTACCGGAGAAGGACGATCCGAGTTGATTCGGTCAAATTGCCAATATTCTCGCGAGTTCCTGCCAGGAGCTCTGAGATACTCGCCAACGTGGCCACCAGACCACCAATATGAAGAAACCGCGTCGCTAAAAAATGATCCCTCATGCAGCAACCTTGGCTATCTTATATTCGGCAGATTCAGGGATGACGACAGAATGTATAAGCCAATTACGACCACGGGCGGCCGCTATTCAGGTGTTCGACAGCTTGGGTATGTGTTCTGGGACTCAAAGAGGATATTGTGTCCCAAGATTTACAACAAGCTTGAAGATATGAAATGGTTGCTATGGCAGGATATAAACTTCCGATTCCATCCAGGGGCTCAATTGGGGGCTGGAGAACGTCTCGATGGTGTCAAGATTCACCGAGATCATATGCAGAAGCTAGAAAGAGATTTCGGATGTCTTAACCGCCCGCATTGAGCAAGCATCAAAGCAGATTCAGATAACTGAAAACGATATATATCTACTACATATATGCTCATGGAGAGAATTCACGGGGATACTTTGCAGAAACTTTGCAGAAGCCTAGAAGCATCAGAAAACCCCACAATGGCGGCGCAATTGCGATCGGCAATACAGGCTGTTTGAGAGATGCCTCACTCAGGGTGCGCAACGCTTACTCAATTAGTTCGTCCGTTGTTCATCCGTGATCGAACCGATATGTTTGACTGAGCACCATCCACTTCTCAACTAGGGTAGCGTTGCGCAATAGTGGAGGCAGAATACCGAGAAGCATTGAGTATTTGTAAGAAGGATAATTCTGACCAAGAGGGACTCTCAAATTGTCAACATAATATAAGGCCACACACGCACTCATGCCTTCAATCACAGGTATGGTATTCAGCAAGAAAAGAAAATGAGCACTCGACCCCATGAGATAACCATCCTGGGCGCCACCGGGTGGACCGCCACAATCTGCGCCGAGCACATTGCCAAGACCTTCCCAACAAATACGAAATGGTGCATTGCAGGTCGTTCAGCCGCAAAGCTTGAAGATCTACGCCAAGAACTCCGGGCCATCAATCCCGATCGACTGGAACCGGACAATTACGTTATCCCTCAACTCGACAGTGAGGGCCTCAATCCCCTTGTCAGAGACACCGAAGTTCTGGTCAACGGCATTGGACCATATCACCGCCATGGCACCCCCACCGTTGAAGCATGTGCCCGTAACGGCACCCATTACGTCGACTTTAGCACCGAAACTGCATGGATCGCTCAGATGATCCGTGATTTTCACGAGGTGGCCAAAGATTCAGGCGCTATTATTATTCCGGCTATCTCGGGATCGAGTGCTCCATCTGATCTTGTGGCGTGGCTGATTGCTAGACATCTACGAGAGAAGAGCCTACCAGCAGAATCTGAAATCGTATGCTCTGGGAAACTCAACATGCTCGGGATGCAAGGTGGTTCCCTGCATACTGTTCTTGACGTTGCCGAGACTTATGGGATCAATGGCTGGCTGACTTCTGACACCTCGGTCTTGGTGCCAGATCCCAAGCATGTGGTTAAGAAAAGCCAGGGATTTCTGGGTCATCGCTACGACCAACATCTTGGGCATCTGGCAACATCCTTCGTGGCGTGGGGTAATGAGTCCGTCGTTCAACGATCAGCAGCCTTGAATCCGAAGATTTACGGACAGAAATTCGTGTTCAAGGAGTACAGCCCAGACACTGGCCTCATATCTGCACTACTCATGCACATCGTCATAAAACTGGGCATTTTCTTGTTGGCATTGCCATGGTTCAGATCCTTCGTTCGTGGTAAGTCTTTTGATCCAGGATCTGGACCCGACAGAGACGAAAGACGCAAGATTGAGAGCGCGGAATGGAAGGCAGTCGGCTATGTGACTGGCAATAAAGAACTAGTGGCGTTGGCCAAGTTCAGCTACAAAGGAGCGCTGGTTGACATGGCTGCAATTCTAGCCGTAGAGGCTGCAGCGTCAATCAATCAGATGGACAAGAATGGAACTACTGGTGCTGGACTATTGACGCCATCGACATTGGGCATCACATTTGTGGACCGACTTCGGGCAGTGGGTTTCGATCTCATGGTTGAAGGACTTGAGAGTCATTAATTGAGTTTTACTCTCTTAATAGTTATCACCATCGAACAGCTCCACGCTAGGGGAGGCAAGAAATATTATAATATTGACCCTAAGTGATAAAAGTATTTAGGTAAATCTGGCCTCAGCTTAGGGGACTCTTTTCTTCGTTTATTTTGACACCCCACATTAAGGACCGGTGTTTTCTTGGTCCTCGAGGCCAGGGTACAGGATTGGCGGAGAAAGTCGGCTGTTGGTTCTCAAGACAAGGAAGTGGAGAGCTAGCGAGATGGCCGACATCGCATGAAAGGGAGCGATTCTACCGCTATTCCCCAAGGCCATCTAACACATGAACCTCCAATACAGTATCTAGAAAACACCCCGAGGGTCCGAACAATCAGCGTAGACACTGCCATTAGTTAGGCATTGTTCTTCGAGTAGAGCATAAATGATCTGATAACCTTATTCATTATCTCGGAACTCGGCACATAGATCAATCCTCTGCAGCAGCCTCTGGCGTGACAAAAAGCTACTAAACACAAACTTGACGATATGCGGTTAGGTTGAAGAGACATAACAGTGTGATCAAGAGTTATGCATACTGCGAGAGTTATTATTTGAGCTCATCCATAATGGTCCAGAATGTTCCCCCACGTGAATGAAACGGCGACGCGAGCCGAAATGGTAGGGGTCTGGAACAGGCGAGGAAGTTAGTCACAGAAATGCTGGAGAAAATTTCATACGAGGTCGAGAAGTCCCGATGCAAGCCTGATGGAGCTAGCGGTTTGTTGTAGTGGAGACAGATCAGATGTTGTTAAACGAGGCGGGTGACCTGTTTCAGTAATATTGCCTCACGAGAACTTCTGCAACGTGTTGAAGTACCTATGAAGAGTTGATTCTGGTAGGGTCAGATTTCATGCCTCCGGGATGATCTGCTACCACCATCGTAACAAGAACCAACAGACAGAACTTGTGGCTGAAGACTACAGAGACTATTACCTAAAATCAGAGTAAAAACTCTCGGTTACACTTGTCCATGGCGCTCGTCCCACGGTCCGTCACATGCTAGCCCTACCCTAGTCTCCTTTATCAATCAGATCCATCTTATCAATCAGCCAGGACCCCGCGCGATCCGTCCAAATTCCCGTTTTGGGTCTAGAACACGTGGATAGCTCTCTTTATCTGATCAGTGGCTTCGGCAGTTCGGCACAACTAAACGAAAAATTTGCCTGGCTGCATGCAGAATTCCGCTGCGTCACTGTGTTGCTCTCAGTGGGCGGAATTAAGAATTCTGGAACGCCATGTCTCACTGTAGCCAATGGTGACACGGGGCAGAATTCCTCGATGGTTCCTCCACTTGGGTGCCAAGAAGTGATATCGCCAAGAGGTGAGATGTCGGCACGTTGCCAAGACGGGCACTTGTTACTCTCAAGATTCAATATGGGACTGAAACGGATTAAATTATAGCATTTTTGAAACTACTTCAACAAATTGAGGATGCCGGTCTGAAGCTCTGAAGCTCAATACAGTCGACTGACTGGAGTCTGGAGTTATGCCCACAAACACAAGACCGCACTAATCAAGCGCAAACTCTCGGTCTCCCTCCGACCCTGGGAAAGTCTGCATCTAGCGAACTGGGTCCTAGACACTTCTTCAACATGGTCCATCCCTTCCAGTCCCCCAAAAGCTGATGCTAATCAACAAGCCACCAAACCCATGACCCGGGTTTCTCTCTGGTAACACTAAGCCAATAGCCGTTATCCAAAACGAACGATATCCGGCGATCACGGATCTAGAATGCAGCCATGGAATCTTCCGAGGGATCTTTTGGTAAGAATCACCGTTTATGGAATAAGAGGTATTTTATCCATATTGGGCCGCGATACTACTTAAAGATCAACTACGAAGCGCTTTAAAGTTATTTCTGTTTCTCGGGTCATTCAAATCATCACTGTGTACTTGTCTTGTGTCTTGGCCTTGAGCACCAGCCACCATGTGGTCCTCCACTACAATGCCGAGATTAGCAATCGTGCTGTCAGCACTTTCTTTCTTCCCCAGCACATCAGCCACTGTCCCTCTTGAAGGTTATGGGCGAGATTCCTACCCAGTACCATGTGCTCAAGCGTGCTCGTGGGCAATGCCCTATAATCTCGATTGCCCCGAGTACGCCGGCATGACGGCAGAGGCGAAGGCGGAGGCATATCCATCGGCGGAATGCTTTTCCAACGACCCTTCGTACTTGACCTCCATAGCCTACTGCATTCACTCTTATTGCCCAAAGAATGTCAAACTTTACAAGGTTGAGACCTTCTGGGAGACTCTGATGATTTACGAGTCCAAGTCCATTCGATGGTCGTACCCCGAGGCTTTGGCTCAGGTCAATACCTCCAGTACACCAAAACCAATGTCTCCGGAAGAAACGTTGTTCAACCGTACCATCTCGATTGATGCAGCTGTCTTCCAGGGCCAGCTGAATGGTGTCAGGGAATACAAGACCGTCGCCAAGAATGAAAGCAAGTACTCGTAAGTCTACTTGAACTCGCTTTCAAACCACTACTGACTAATCATAGCATTCTGGCCTTCATAACATGTGTGATGGTACCCATTGGTTTCTCCCTCCTACGATTGCTTCCCCTGCCAACATCCTTCAGAAGCAAGTTCTACGGCTACTTCATAGACCCTCCAGCTTGGGGCAGGCAGCACAGTGTAGCCACGCTTGGAATTGGCATGGTTCCTACTAGAGGTCAAGCTCTTTTTATTCTCTACCTCATTGGTATCAATTGTCTGGCGACATTCGAAGGATACCCCAACTATACTCCCAACGGCGTCTATCCAGATCGTCATTATGCACTAATGCGTTTTATCGGTAACAGGGCTGGTGCCATTGCCTTCGCCAACATCCCTATTGTCATCCTCTATGCCGGGCGCAGCAGCGTGCTTCTTCGGCTCACTAACTGGTCTTACTCAACCTTCCTTCTTCTCCATCGATGGACTGCCACCATCTGTGTCGTACAAGTCGCCCTTCACTCGCTCCTTTGGCTTCGAATTATGATCGAGCAACACTCGTATCCCCTTGTTCTGACATACCCCTACTGGTACGTCGGCGTTGTCGGCACTGTCCTCTTCTCCGCCTTGATCCCCTTCTCGATGCTTCCAATCAGAAAGATATTATATGAGGTCTTTCTCATCACGCACATACTCTTGACCATCGGTGCCCTCGTCGCTTCTTGGTATCACATTGTTTTCCTCTACGAAGACACGAGTGGCTTCGAGATCTGGCTCATCATCGCGTTTTGCTTCTGGGGCCTTGAGAGACTTCTCCGCATTCTGCGTATCTCCAGATATGGTATCAAAAAAGCATATGTCACTCGTATTGATGACAAGTATTTGCGTGTTGACATCCCAGATGTTGATGCTCATGGTCACTGCTTTGCTTACTTCCCGACTCTGTCCTGGCGCGTTTGGGAAAACCACCCTTTCTCGATTGTCAACTGCAGCAAGGGCCAGCTTGATGGAGAGTCCATGGTTCCAAGCTCGGCTTCGCATACCCAGTCTGAGAATGAGGGTACCATATCGCCAACTGAGGCATCAGCGTCCAAAGAGATGGGCGGCGCCATGTCTAACGTCCGTCAGCTTCAAGATCATAGCAGTACTACCAAACCTGGCATCACGCTGTTCGTCCAGAACCTCCGTGGTATGACAGCCAAGCTTGCCAAGAAAGCCGACACTGGCATCGCTATCCCCATTCTCATCGAGTCTTCTTACGGTCACGAAGACACAAGCCGATTCGAGCCCAACATCGAATATCCAAACACCCTCGTCATCTCTGGTGGTGTTGGCATTGCTGGCGTCCTGTCATCTCTCCAAGCCTCCCTGTCAATGTACGCCCAGCCCTTGGGAACCACTAAGCTGTATTGGGGAATCAAAAGTAAGGGTCTTGTCGATGTAGTGAAGAGTATGATTGTTGGTGAAGATGTCGCCGAGGAAAAAGAAGGTGGTGAATCCTCCAACTGGGGCCATATCGAGACCCATGTCTCAGTTGGTGAGCGAATGGACATAAAGAGAGTTTTGACCACAGAATTGGAGAAGGCCATTGGTGGAACTACCCTTATCGTTTGTGGTCCACATGCAATGTGTGATGAAGTTCGGTATGTTTGCGCTGCGATGGCGAGACATGGTGTTGTTGTTCGCTATGTTGAAGAATCCTTCACCTGGTAGACATAGCAGAATGACACAAGTGGGGCAGCTAGAAGCATTGGTAGATATTTTATGACACAACTATTTGCCATTGCATTCGCCTTTAATAAGTAATAAAGGTTGACCGGTAATTGAGGGTGCATCAAGCAATACACATCAATAGCCCTGCACTCGCAGCATATATTTGCCGATGACTAAGTTGTTAGATTGATGGCTTCAAAATGGTGACGGCCAAATTATCTTGAGAGATTCAGAGAGCTTTGACATGTGCATTTTGACTCACCAAATGCTGCTTTGGTAGGTCCAAAACCTTTCTGCAGCAGTGATGATAGTAAGCAGCCTGAAAGGAGTTTGATCCTAATTCTGGAATACTGTGCTTACTGTCAAGAATTTATCTGACATGTTAGGTGCTTTCATTCCAATACTGCACTGGCTAATATGCGCAACAGGTGCATGACTGGGACGTAGGGCATTTTTCTACCTTGCCGTAGTGTTGAGCTGACTGGATGGTGCAGCTAAAAGAATAGCGACGGTATTGAAGAGTTTCCTCGGCCGTGGTCAATATATGCACCGACAAAGTCACTTTTATCACAAGAGGGTCTGTATCTATAAACGAATTATACTAGTAACGCCATGCAGATTTCGATGCCGGCAAAAAGACTGACAAGATATTTATTACTTAAAAGAAGTCTTTTACTAACGAGACTGACTTCGTCTTTGGCATTGATAATCCGCCTAGAATCTGGGAGTCATCCTGCTTGGTGGGACTAATAGAGAGACCTTATTGACAGCGCCAGTGGCTGGCACTATGAGTCCTCTGCAAAAGATAGGCAAAATTTTTATAATGCACATCGAAAAAGACACAAGACGCCTTAAGTCCTGTTTATAACATTTTAATTCCTGTTTACTTATTAAATTAGCCAGAAACTGATTCTTCACTAATGTAGTAGCCTAGCAGCCAGTAACAAAACACTAGTGCTAATCACGCAAGTTATCACGCAAATCCCGCACTCAATAGCACCATGGCCACTTTGCGCCACTTATAACTAATTAGACTTATTATCTGAGGCTTAATATGTATCTATCTAAGATAGCCTCATCTGGCCCTGCCAACACTTCCCCTAAAATCCTATCACCCAGCTTTATCGCATCACGCAATAGATACTTCTCGGATAACACGGCACTTTGGCTTTTCACCTCTCTCTGGCCTGCTGGAAAGAGGGATAATGGCCGCAGAGACTAGAATATATAAAATCAGACTTCCTACTGTATTTGGCTTTATCTTAGACAAGAGACAGCCAGAGTTCGACAAAAGATTCATTGACAATGTCTAGTAAAGAAGGCCTTGCCGAATCCCATCCCGCTGGAGATTTCACGACTCAGCCTGTCAAGCGTTACAGGTGGTACCATCTCTTCGGCAAAGATGTCAGCCACGTACCAGTCGACGAAGGCTACTCAACAGGCTCTGACACAGCTTCCCTACATAGTGAGATTGTGAACAGCCATCAGAATGTCTTTGCTGCTCCGGAAGCGGTGGATATCTACAAAATAGTCGATGGCTTCGAAGGCGCCCACCGCTTCGAGCCTTCTGCGACGTGGGAGTCCCAGGAGGAGGAGAAGCTAGTAAGACGGGTATGTCACTAACGTAACATGGATTACATGAACAGCGATACTAATTCCGATGGTAGCTTGACTGGTTTATCGCACTTCCTGCCTGCATTATGTTCTTTGCTCTCCAGCTGGACCGTGGCAATATCGTCCAAGCTCTTTCGGATGGCATGCTAAGTAAGCTCACGGTCGACAGTCAATTGTATCCCCAACAGCACTAACTCAGTCCAGATGATCTCGGTCTCACGACAAATGACTACAATAATGGCATGACGATATTTTACTGTTCGTTCTTATTCGCAGAGCTCCCGTCACAAGTCATTGGGAAAAAGCTGGGACCAGACGTCTGGATCCCTATCCAGATGGTACTATGGAGTGTCGTGGCAATGTCACAGGCTGCGCTTCAGGGAAAGACCAGCTTCTTTATCTGCCGCTGGTTGCTTGGAATGCTCGAAGGAGGTAATTATAAATCAACACAGGATGTCGCTCTTAGCCTGTATTATCCTCATTTGGCATCATGAGCCGCTGACTTGTATACCTCCAGGCTTCATCCCTGACACCATTCTTTATCTTTCGTACTTTTACAAGAATGTCGAGCTTCCTAGACGCCTAAGTTGGTTCTGGACATCATACCAAGGCACGCAGATTATTGGTGCCTTTTTAGCATACGGTATTCTCCACCTCCGGGGCCATAGTGGGTTACATGAAGGATGGCGATATCTGTTCGTGATTGAGGGCTCATTTACTGCACTGATCGGTATATTGACCTTTTTCTACCTACCGCCATCCCCCACGCAGACTTCTCGAACAGGCTGGAAAGGATTACTTCGACCCAGGTCCGGATGGTTCTCTGAACGCGAAGAGATCATCATGGTTACGCGAGTTCTTCGGGATGATCCTGGCAAGGCTACCATGCATAACCGTCAGGGCTTAACGGGCAGCCTGATCTGGGAAGCTCTCTCTGACTACCATATGTGGCCTATCTATCTCATCGGTCTTTCCTGGGGTATTCCTAATGCGCCTCCCCAAGCATACATCACACTCACATGCAAGGCCCTTGGTTTCGATACTTTCCATACCAACCTTCTTACAATCCCGGCATATACCCTGTTCATTATACAGCTACTGTTCTGGACCTGGGTATCCGAAAGGATCAACCAGCGTGTTCTTCTCGGTGTTATCGGCCAACTATGGTCCTTGCCACTTCTGGTTTCCCTTGTAGTTTTGCCTCCCGTCTTTCCAGGATGGAAATGGGCAAAATGGACTCTGTCTACACTTCTTGTTGGCGCTCCCTACCCTCATGCGATTCTTGTGGCCTTGACGTCCCGCAATGCCGGATCTGTCCGCACCCGTACTGTTGGCTCTTCGCTCTATAACATGAGCGTTCAAATGTCGAGCATTATATCTTCACAGATCTACCGCAAGAACGACGCGCCATACTATTATACTGGAAACAAAGCGCTACTTGGAGTCTTGGGTTATAATATCTTGATCTATATCCTTATCAAGCTCTATTATGTTAGGGAGAATAACAAAAGAGACAAGATCTGGGAAGGCATGACCAGAGAGGAGAGAGTTAATTATCTCAAGACAACAACTGATCAAGGAAACAAAAGGCTGGATTTCAGGTTTGCTTCATGATTGTTGCTTAAAGCTATGGGTCAAGTTATTAAAGAAGCAGTTTATTAGATAAACTGAGAACTTTATCGGTTGTAATTTACTTATGGATTACAAGCGGGTTTGTTCAGAGATCCACAGCAAAAGGATCAATTTAGCTGAGGCCAGTGGGTTTGTTGATAGGCTCATCAGTGGCATGCACAGGGAATTGATTCTCGGTGAATGGTGTCCCGAAGAAGTTGATGTGAACTTGCGGTATGGAAACAAATGAGACAAGGTGTCCTTTGAAACAATGTCTTGTCGCACTTTATGTGATGTTACTTCCTTTAGCCTCCAAGAGGCTGATTTATCGTTGACCGATATATTGGTTGACTGGGCCCTGACTGGAATATTCCATTCTGGGGTAGGTCCTTCTTAAGTCCTGATTAGAAATATGCATTACGTTAGGGTAGGCTGCGGAAGGATCTGGACTTGGATTTATTGGCAAAGGCGAGAGATGAGTTGCAAGTAATGTAACCTGTCTTTATTCCAATAACACTCTACGGTGTTGCAAGAACTTATAATGGTCTGACCAGAGCTATGATACCCTGCTGTACTCTATCAAACTCAAGCGCTGTTGCCATTGTAGGCAATCAGATTAGGACTGCCAGAGAGGGTACCAGTGATCTTTCCGGAGGTTCCAAGGGCCTTAATTCGGCTTGCGACAGAAGCTGGTGTAGTAAGACCCTCGAGAACCTTGAGGTAGAGAGCAAGACCAGCAACATGGGGAGAAGCCATAGATGTACCACTGATAGAGTTAGTAGCGCTGTTGGAGCCAATCCACGCAGAGAGAATTCCTTGCCCGGGAGCAAAGATATCGACACCAGCACCTTTAAATAGTAAGTCAATCATTTCTCAGATCAAGAGGGATAGGGCTAGTCATACCGTAGTTTGTGAATGAAGTAGGTCTCCAGGCAGAGGTGAGAGCAGCAACAGTGATGGCGTTGGCAGCATTGGCAGGGGATTGACTCGATACGGGTAGTGGGTTTCCATCCTCGTCACCGTTTCCGGCAGCGACAACAGAGAGCACACCTGAGTTATAAGCAGCGTCAATAGCAGTTACCCAAGCTTGAGATGCGTCGCCACCTAGATCAGTTGTTAGTGGAAGTGCTTCCTGAAACAGCAGGATTCGTCATACCCAGAGAAAGATTAATAACGGCCTTGCCGGCGCGGCCCTTGGAAGTGATATCGTTGACAGCCCAGTTGAAACCAGCGAGAACACCAGAATCAGTTCCCTCTGCTCCCTGGAAGACCTTGACGGAAACAATATTCGCCTATCGACGTTAGCATGGACTTATCGGATACAGCTATACGTACTAACCTTCTTAGCAACACCATAGGTTGAGCCTGCAATAGTGCCAGCAACATGAGTCCCGTGTCCAAGAGTATCAGTGTTAGCTCCCGAAAAGATGCTATATCCGGCAACAGCGCGGCCGCCGAACTGCGAGTGAGAGATTAAAACACCACTGTCGACGACATAGGCATAAGAGCCCTCGCCAGCAGAAGTATCGTAGATGTAGCTAGTTGAACCAGAAGTGCGGTGCGAGATCGTTCCAAGACCCCAAGGAGCTCCTGACTGGGTGGTCAGGGCCCTATCAGACAACTCGCTGGATTCTTCGAAGCTGAGCTTGACAACCTTGTCAGGTTCGACGAAAGCAACCTTGTCTCTTGTAAGCAGCAGTCTGAGGTTGGATCGTTAAAGATTACCTCAGGACTGGCCTCAATTTCCTTGATAGTGTCCTCATCGAACTGTCCAGCGTAGGCATTCCAGTTTTTGATGTTGAAGGTATGCTCGATACCAGCAGTGTCGCGCTTAGAAAGGCTGCGGCGATGAACATCACCAACCCACTGAAGGTGAGACTCGACTTTGGCAGAGGAAGCAGAAGATTTGAGGGTGATGATGTATTTCCCGGGAATCACGTCTGAGCCCTTGGTGGGTGCGGTGGGGGCAGCAAGAGCAGCAGGCAGAAGAGCTCCCAGGTAGAGAGCGAGACGAATGAGGCTAGCCATCGTTTACAAAGAGAAAGATGATTGGGAAAGTGGTGATGGAGTTGATATTGAGAAGAGATATTCTATGGCCTCTGGCTGCGATTTATAGTCATATCAAGACCATCATACAACGGTTTCTAGGTGCCGTTCCCATTTCTTGGCAGACTGACTTATTGGCGGGATATATCACGCAATAGGTGCCGGACTGGGCTTTGGCTATCAGACTTGGCACAGCTTCCTAAACGGTCTATTGGCCGATGCACCCTAGAACGGAAGGTCGCACTTTTTGAGAGATCAACAGAGGAACTATTGTTAAAAGACCACGGAGAACAAACATGGCGTCAAGTAACGCATCACCTTTCGCAATTATAGTCTCGGAGCGTATTGTCCTTGACCTGATCGACAGGCAACTATTTGATCATTTACCCGCCGAGAAGTTGAGAAACAACTAAGGTGGGGCTTACACATCGGACTGTAACTAAAATAGACAGTAATGTTACAGGGGTATAAAGTAACAAGTAAGCTTATCAGTAAACAAGTAAGCTTATCAGGATTAACTATACCTAATAACCTATTCCTAAACTGACTATGCCTGATCCTGCAGTGCAAGGCTCTGCCTGGGGGCTGGCCTGCGTCCGTTGTATTGCCTTCATTCTCAATTGTCATGGCCAGCCCACCACAAACTAACAAACAAATGACCACTCCGATCCTGACGGCATCTTAATTGTATGTGTGCGTGTGCGTGTTCTTAGTTTTGGTGCTCCTGGACGGCGTCTCTCTGGTTTTAGTAATATACTTAGGACGACGTGGGGATTGTAGTAATTGGCTGTGGCGGAATGTCAGCTTCCGCATTGCAGTGTCGGCATGGAGCGGAAAGGGAATGATCCACTACAGGATACGCCACCGAACAGACCCCATGTCTCGGATTAACAAGATCTCGCTACTGTCAAGGTGGCCGGCATATCCCCACGGCATACTCGTGATAGCCAGCGGTCTGATACATCAATCCATGCGCCGGATATAGGAGACCTGAGATACGCCATAACTTCGGCTTTTCACACGTTCGCATCGTGATCTTTACATGCTCCACTTGGTTGCTTGTCGACCGATCGATATGAGTGATCCTGTCGCTTTCAAGCCTGTCGATGAACTGCTCGACCAACTCGTTGCATAAGAAAATAGGCGTCCTAGAGCCATTGTGGATGCTCTTAACCGTTAAAGTATAATCCCCGCTACTCCGAGCTATATACACGCACATGAATTTTGGTACTTTCTGATAGGTCGTACAGGTAATACTTTATACAAAAGATATGCTAGCAAACTTCTTTACAGCCTAACATACTACCTGTACTAGCTAAGTCGATCTTTTGGCTTGCATTAAGCACTAAACTGTTAACTACTATAACCGTAATGCAATATATAGAATGCAGACTGCTAAAGTTAGACAACTCTATAGAATCTATATTGCCTGGGTAATTAAGTCTATAGATCTTATAGGCTATATTTAGGATAAAATAAGCCTATTTTAAAGCCTATAATATATAATATTACTTCAAGGCCTATAGTTAATTATAAGTTTATTATAAATTATATAAAAAATATTAACTTTTATTTTTAAATTTTTTTTAAAATTATATATTAGCCTTAAAAGATATTTAAATATCTTAAAAGTTTATTATAATTTAAATATTTATTACCTTTTAGGCAGGAAAACTTTATTAAATTAATATAATATAACCCTTATAGCTATATTATATATATATATTATAATAACTCTTAATTATTTAATAGTTAAATTCTTTAACTATAAATACATTAAGTTATATTTAAGTTTATTATTAATAGATTATATAGGCTGTAATATTTAGTAATTATTAAAGTATTATTTATCTTTATAATAAATTTAATATATATTAAGCTTAATTAATATAAAGAAGTTCTATTAATAATTAATAAACTAAAATTTATAAAAGTCTAAATAGAGATAATCTATTAAACAGAAGCTCCTTAACGTCGTGCGACTTGGACCCAACTCGCCGATCGAAGCATCAAACAACAAGGGCGAGCCCTTCAATTTGATCCAGTTGAAGATGGGTCAGTCAATCCCACTGATACTCGCCCAGACAGCGAATCGTGCGATGTTATACCCAGAAGGTACGGCAAGTTTCACAGTTCGGTATGTTTCACCAGACCTAGTGCCAGACCAGATGGCTTCTCGCTCCTAGCGAGCATGGAATGAAGTTGAGGAATACAAGTTCCAAAGTCCGATATAAATCTGGCTTATTCAAATCAAAAGAAAAGAAATTAAGAGCAGAAGGAAAAGAGAGTAGAGCGGTTCCGGAAGAAACTGAGATCCGAAGTTATTCCCAAGCACGCCATTCATTCTATGTCAGTTTCATTCCCTCTGGGAATGAAACTTGTGTGCGCGAAAAAGACTAAGTGTCTACGAACAATTTGCTGTGGGGCTATGTAGTCGCGACGGGTCGTCCTGGTTAGCATGATATCTCTTGTCTACTAGACGTGCCCTGGTGTGGTGGCCTGGCCGCGAAACTACTTTGAATCATGATGTCCAAACTGTACTTGCCCTTGTGACCGACGGAATCTTAGCACTTAGCAACTTAGCAGCGGCTGATTGCGATCAAGCACCGGGCATCGCATGGCTTCTTTGTATTGTTCGTTCTGAACTTCCATAGGATGACCCGTATTGGCAAACTTACCAGCCGTACTGTGCAGCAGGAGCGGCATCGTGTAACGGGCATATGGGGACGGTACGGCAAGTGAGATTACAAATGAACGTAGCCGCAACCGGTCTTGCGTCGATCAAAAGCCGGATTCGGCAGTGTTTTGAGCTAGAACTCTTACGAACAGGTGGGAAAGTGGCCTTGACATTCTCCGCCACCATCCAATAGCCTTCGTCTGCTACAAGATTCCCTGCATGGATTTCGTTCGTCCCTAGACATCTCCTTGTTTCAGAGAACTCCAATCAAGAACCACACCCAAGACGTCGTCGTTCCTAACTAAAGATGTGTAAATCTCCTCCGCATCCTGCGGCGATCGTCGATGAGTCAACAGCGCCATGACCTGCATCTTCTTACTCCTGATGTAGTGGAAAAACAGGGAATTCATGTTCTCCGCCGTCCATATGTTGAAAGGGCTCTCTTCTCGAGGGTACAGTAGTCCATGCACGCCCAATATTGCGATGGAATCCCCAACAATCCTTGGACCGATGTTTTGCTGAGAAGGCGTTGCGCTATCTCCAAGCAAGACCACCCTGCCAAGCTTCCTTACAAGTCGTGTAGCACCTGCCAGAACGGAAGGAAAACCAGTTACGTCAAAGGCGACGTCTGTCATCCTCCCACCCGTGATCGACTTGACCTCAGCGATCGCCTCCTCCACTGGCAAGCAAATGGTGTGTGTTGCTCCGTGGCTCTTTGCTAAATCCAGTCGTGTTCGCGAGAGGTCAATAGCAATGATCTGCCTTGCGCCGCTCAATGCCAAATACTGCGTGACCAGTTGACCCAGGATGCCCAGTCCCACCACGCAAACGCTCTCCCCCATGACCAATTGGGCTCGCCTCACCCCCAACTGTGTGGTCCTAGCGAGTGTAGTCCAGACAGCTTCGTCATCTGTGATGTCGTCGGGGACAGCGAATAAGTCATCTTGACTCATAAGAAAGTGCTGTGCATGGGTGGCCAGCGACGTGACACGGTCACCTTGTTTGAATTTTGACACACCCGGTCCAACCTTGGCCACGACAGCAACCATGCTGTATCCCGGCGCAAATGGATATTGAATGTATTCTTCCCAATATGTGCCTTTCTCGTATACTCCCTTCAGGCAAGTGGATTCCGTGCCTATGCTGACTAAGGAGGCGATCGCTGTGCAAAGCACTTGGTCGTCCTGGGGGTCGGGGACATCTTCAAGGGCTAGTTGCACCTGACCCTGTTTGGGAAAAATAATATTGGATGACTTCATGGTGCGGTGATAAGGAGGATAAACAGTGTTGGTATGACTGTTGAGCGCGATAGCGAAATGCCAGTTGAACTGGTACTGACTTCAGACTGAATGTGTCGAAAACCGAATTGGGGTTGTCTTTTCATGTTATGCGGTTGCAAGGATCATGGCCACTGATGCACTGAAGTGCGTCCCGTGACCCTTAGGCCCGATCGCAAACCATCAGATGTAACGTCGGACGATATGTGGCATTTATTCGCTAACGACACGAAACTTTCCGGATCCGAGCTAAAAGCTGGGTTGACCAAGAAGCTCAATCTACAATGAACTGACGCGCGTCGAGCGTGAATTCTGAATAGGATCTTAAGCTGCGGGGCTTCCTTGAAGCATGCCTCAGATTGGATGCACAAAATGGAGGGGGCCGTATTCAGACACTGTGTAGGTTGTCATTGCTTGGTGACCCAATCAGTACCCTCCGTGTCATTTTGTTAGCGTTATAGAAACTTTTGGTAGATAAGGCTATGAAGTAGCTGCTTTCAATTATTGAGGCCTTCCTCTGACCTCACCAATATTGTTCGTTACGTTACTAGTAGCGCGCATATGTCCAGGTTTGTGCCTCGACTACCAAAGATCCATGGTCTTCAACCAGTGCAACGTTTCCCGGCTTCGTCCACACCGCCCGATACGTCGTTGCTGAGAATGACGATACTCACGATTAGTTTACTCTATTGCACAGACTTGTCTGTCCCATAAGTCGGATACACATTCCTGTTCACGAAGTAAGCAATCTCTATTTTAGCACATCACAGTGTCTTCTTCCTTGAAAGACTCGTTGATCATTGGCTATTACTCATCAATCACTATGGCGTCGACGACCCCGAAACCCCTCACAGTGCTTGTCATCGGCGTTGGCCAGATGGGCAGCAGTCATCTTCTGGCATACCATCAGAGCCCACACTTTCACGTTGTTGGCGTATTGACACGCAATGTTCCCGAATTACCTGTTGAACTGAAAGAATACAAAAGCCTCCACTTTATAGATCTCGAGTCGGCGCTTGCACTAAAGCCCGACATTGTGGCCATCAACACCCATACCGATAGCCATGCACACTATGCGATGGCGGCTATGGAGGCGGGAGCGCATGTATTTGTGGAGAAACCTCTTGCGTCAACCCTTGCAGAGGCGCAGCGAGTGGTGGATGCCGCGAAGCGGGTACACAAGAAGCTTGTGGTTGGCTACATCTTGAGACATCACCCAAGTTGGGCCGAGTTTATCAAGCAAGCCCGCCTCCTCGGTCCGCCCTACGTCATCCGTATTAGTCTGAACCAGAAGTCCCGCGGCAAACTCTGGGACATTCATCAGCGAGTCCTAAAAGATAACAGTCCAATCGTTGACTCAGGAGTTCATTATGTAGATGTGATGCTTCAGATTACGAAGAGCCGACCGGTCCAGGTCCGAGGTATGGGTGTGCGTCTGGCCCATGATCTTGGACAAGACGAAGTCAACTATGGGCATCTACAGATCACTTTTGCTGATGGTTCCGTTGGTTGGTACGAAGCTAGCCTAGGTCCCATGATATCAAAAATTGGATGCACCATTAGGGATGTCATGGGGCCCAAGGGCTCGGTATCTATGATTCAGGACGACCAGCCTGGCTCTGCAGCAATGGAGAAAGTGACTAGATCAGCCAGCATCCGGGTGGCAAGTGTTGACGGAGGTGAGAAAGATCTCTCCATGTTAAATGAGCCAAGTTTCGCCGAGCTTTGTGCCCGACAGCAAGCGTTTTTGCTGAACGCTATCCGGGGCGACTGGGATCTTTCTCAACATATGGACGATGCCGTACAATCCCTTGCTGTTGCCATTGCGGCAGAGACATCGAGAAAAGAAAACAATGCTGTAGATCTATGAAAGCGAGATCTCGGACGACTCGTGGGAAGACCATATCTGCTGCCGAGGAACGTTATCGATTCTGGGATGATCCCCAACACCTTGATGACAGAAGGAAACTGAAAGGCTTAGGTCCAAAAGGTAGTAAGGGTTCTCGAGCGTAAATAAGTAGTAGTGAAATCAATGAAGCACATTGTCTTCAGTTAGTATCATATCGTAACGCATGTCGACCATATCGAGAAGACATCACCCAATGCCTCTGAAGGCTATGGCCACCAGCTTGTCACATCATATGGCACAGCACTAGAAGATACGGGCTCCACAGCTTCCTCAACAGAAAATTGAATTGCTAAGCCGATTTCTATAACGTTCCTTATCTTAACAAGGGCCAAAGAGGAAAGACATTCGACAATTATAAAATCCAGAAAGCCTACGTAAATACCATTCCCCATAGACAAATGGATAGAACTGGCATTCTGGATCAAAGGCACTAGACTACCAATAACAGCGCCTATGTTAAAAATGGCCCAGAAGATGGCAACATGATGGCCTTTCTGATCTTTACCAACATAGATCATCATCATACTGCCTTCAGCCATCCACAAAAAACCGATATCAGTACCCAAAAGCGCGTCAGCCACAATAACAAAAGTTCCGTTTTGGTTAATATTATAGGACAGGAAGGCACCAACGTAGAGCAGGCAACTGTTAAATCATCAGAACTCGACTTCACATATCTTTTTATCTAATAATAAATCCATTCATACCCCCACCTTCTCAGTAATACGGTGCACTGTTCGCCAATTAAGCTGCAGATAATGCCGCCAAAAAAGGCCATAGAGGCAAAGGTAGAGTAAATTGCGATGCTCGCCTTGTTTATAATATTGGCGTCAAGTCGGCCGTCGCCACTAAGTCCAGACAAAGCATTATACATTCCGGAGCAACTGCTTGTTAAGTGACTCAAAATTAGCAACGACATCTGCGTATTAGAAATAGAAAGCGGCAAGGCAAGGTCTTACAAAAAGATATAATTAACACTAGGATAACTTAAGTGGTTAGGGTGGCATAGTATCTAAAGTTCAAGCCAAATAGTAAAATGCCCTAATATATCCATCCCTTTAGGAGCAGGCGCTAATTGGCTATAGCCAGATTAATACTTCCAGACTTATAAGTGGCCATTTTGGATCCAGGGGCATATAAAAACTGAGATTTCCTGTGCAAAGGCAGTTAAGGTAGCAAAACTTTCTCAGACAGGGTCAGACAGTTATTGTATAGAAATTTGAAGTTTAATCTATAATTCTATTTCTTCTGATCTATTACATTATAAAGAGTGCTAAGCAGACGCTCCACTAACTAATCAACGTGGCGTTTATGTCCAACTCAGCGATAAGACACAATTAAACTAATTATCGAAATAATGTAACATTGATCCACTTTTCACAATACGTAACTACTGGTCCGGTGAACCCAACGCCCTAAGCTTACGGCTCCAACTAACTGGCTCCCTGGCTTGCTTTAACGTGGCATGTAACGTTACGGTTCCAAGCCACCCTTGAAAGGTGCGGTTATGGCCCCTTAGATTAGTCTCCTTTGCCCTGACCTAATTGAGAGTGAGAATGGGCGAGCCAGTGGCGAAGTGCAGAGCGACTTTATGACAGCCGCCTTTCAAACCCCCAATTCTCTAAAATAGCATTAAATCAGGACAGACATAATGTTACAGTGTCTATATAACTCTTAATACTATTAAACCCTGTGTTGTAAACCTAGTAGTGTAGTTTTACCTTACTTCCTATTATTACTTTATATAGTGCTAAGTGTTTTTTAGTATTAGCTATATACCTAACTGTATTATAAAGTTAATTAAGTAATAGTATTATATAAGGCAATAAGAGATATATAAAGACTATAAGTTTTATAAGGTGCTTTTATATTTTTAATAAAAGAAATAAAAATTTAAAAATATAGCTTTATAAATAATTTAAAGTTATTATTATATTAAATATTATTATAATATTAAAGAGTATTATTAATTAATTATTAATTACTTAATAATATTTTTTAAGTAGTATTTATAAAAATTATTAAGTAAAAATATATTATAACTTTAATAATTATATTATATATAAAATAAAGGCTTTATAAATTTTACTTAATAATTAAATATTAATATAATTATAATGCACTTTATTATAAATTAATTAATATTAAAATAATTAATATTAAATTAATAATACTTTTATAATAATTAAGTTTTTAAAAAGGTAATTTAATTTATATTAAGTTTATATTTATAAAATATATAAAGTATTAATATAAAATATATTAATAAGTATTATATCTTTTATAATAATTTAATAATAATCTTTAATAATAGTCTTTAATAATATTTATTAACTATTTTTATTAAAACTAAAAATATATTAATAAAAATAAAAATAAAAGATTATTAAAATATTATATATAAAAATTATTAAACTTTTTAAAATTAAAAAAGAAATAATTATTATAAAAATA